ATAAGTAGTACGTAAAATCTAAATAATTGACGACTTGCATAAAGAACTAAATTAATGTCAGAATGAGACTTTCTGGAAAATGGTAGTACATTTCATTGGTTGAATTCATAAGTCAATTTAAACTAGACCACCTTGAAAACCTTGAAGCATTAGACAAGTGTATGGAAATTCAATCATTTCCAAACTACTTATATGATGTTAATTCTTTCAATTTAAGTAGTATGTAAAGCAATAATTCAATGTGACCTATTTTCAAAAAAAAAACCTGTCAAAATTCATTTTCTTATAACCTTAATGAATCGAATTATTGTAAAAAGAAAAGAGAAAAAGGATGAAAAAAAGAGAAAAGAAAAAAAAGGTTTATAATTTCATACACGGTTGAAAATTCATTTCATGGTTAAAATATAAATATAATATCAGAAGGGGGGTTATATGGAGATTTTAGTAAATTTACGCTGTTGAGATCATGAGTCCATTGAAGCTAGATCACCATGTAAAACCTAGAAGTACTGGACGGCCGTTTCGACTTATTGTAGAACTCCTCAACAATGCGCATCGATTATCCCTCTTCGCAAGATTCGAACACGAGATGATCTAGCTTCAATTAACTCATGATATAAACTATTAAAATTACTATAATATTCACAAAACCCCCTTCTGATATTAATCAACATATGCTCATCAGTAACTGGTTTCAAGAGGGATTTACTGAAGTTCTATTGAGAAGCAGTAACCAGTGGAGTTTAACCACATCTGTTGTCAGGCTATGGTGGATCTAGTTGGATGTTGGATGTATCGCTCGATTTTGCAAATTGCTTGAAGTTAAACATTAACACCGTTGGATACTGTCTCAGTGATCTCCAGGTTAAGCGCTTGTGCGCGAGACTGATAGATCATGGCTTGGAATCTCACGAGGCGGAATCATGGATGCGAACTGGTGATAAGTCCCACAATAATACGAGTTCAGTACTTCCAGGTTTTTCATGGTAATCTAGTTTCCACTGATTCATGATCTCAACTCTATAAAATTACTAAAATCTTCATAAAACCCCTTCTGATATTAAAATTATTTGTTAGAAAATCGGAGGAAAAAATTTTTTTTATTTCCTTTTCTTTTTGTTTATTGAACTGTATCCGAAATTAGAAAATAAAATAAAAAAACAAACAAACAAACAAACATCATTTGTTTTTTAAAATTTTTTGAGTGAACTGATTATAGTGTATCTTGTTTCTAAGTGAGAAAGTGCATGTCTATGTCAAGGTCATGCGTGTTATCCTCTGATTCGATAAATTTTAATGAATATTTCTCGCTAAAGGATTAGATTACAATTTTTTTTTCTTTTCAAAGAATAAATAGGTAAATGACCTATTCATGATTAATTTTTGATCACCTGAAAGAATTTTTTTTTTAATTTCTGCTAATTTCCGGTCTTATGAATTCAGCAATTTCTTCTTTGTTTTTTTTTGATTAAAAAAAGAAGAGACATTTAGTCTTTTAATAGTTGAATTCATGAGTCAATTGAAGCTAGATCATCATGGAAAACTTGGAAGCATTGGATGACTGTTTTGTCCTAATATTGGAAATCTTCAACAGTGTACATCCATGATCCCGAGTGAGGAATTCAAACCCAGGATATTCGGTCTCACGCGCGAAAGCTTAATCTCTGTAGCGTTATCCACTACAGACAACGGATGAAGGTTTACGCAAGATCATGGATCGATTTGAGGTTAGACATTACCACCATTGGATGCTAACTCAATGGTCTACAGGTTAACCGTTCGTGGGCGAGACCAAAAGTCCTGTGTTCGATTTTTGTGTGCAGGATCGTGAATGTGCACTGATGAAGAGTCCCATACTAGGACAACATGGCCATCCTGTGGTTCCAAGTATTCAATGATGGTCTTAACTTCATCTATTTATGATCTCAATCAACATTGTGTATAGCTTTAACTAATCACTCTTTGCATATTGGCCTCATTATCAATCGACCTCTAGGTTCATTCCTATACTGAGAACTAATATATAATGAGTTCATATGTGTAATCTGATCATCGTAAGTAATATCTTCAAACAGAATATTTTGATCATTTCAATACATTTACAATAGACAGAATTCTCTTTGAATAACTCAAAAAAAAACAACTTAAGCTTAAATTACAGGAAATGTTTATTGTTCAGATTCAAAATTTAGTAAAACTTTATTACTGACATAAACATATCAACCTGACTTTTATATAAAGTTTAGAAGATTATCTCCGGGTACATTCGATTTGACTGAATTAGCTTGTTTACTTATGAAGGTTTATAGTTTCTTTCTACGCAAAAGTATCAGTACAAACTTCAACGAAAAGTCATTCGTTCAAATCTAACTGGACATAATGTGTTGTAAACGAAAAATATTCTGGAGCTCTCATTAAAACACTGTTATTAAAAAGGGAACATATAAACCTACACATAGTGTAGTGAACAAAACACGAGTGGGGACAGTCGAATGTATTTAGGCACAAATTACAAACTATCTTACTAAGATCTGATAGTCATACAGCAAACAGTTAATTTGCAAAATAACAATCAATTATCTCAATCTTCACTGTTCCTTCTGTAAATATCAGTCCATCTTCTCTGATTTCATTGTTCATGAATTTTCATACCGATTGTGATTCATATGTTGAAGGTCATATTATCCGATTACTTATTTGTGACCTTTTTGTAAATATGTGCAAATAATAACTGCAAATCATGTTTACAGATGGGCTCACACATAACTGGCGAATTATAAATACACACACACACACACCAGCCCACGACCTTTCAGTCTCGGCCGCGAGCGCTGAACCTGTAGACAATAGTGTTACTGTCTAACTTCAACCAATCTACGAAATTGAGAAACCGTTCATTATTGTCTTCAGTGAGTTACTATCTCACAACAGGTATGGTTGAACTCCACTGGTTACTGCTTCTCACTAGAACTCCATTAAATACCTCCTGAAGCCAGTTACTAGTGAGCATATGTTGATTAATATCAGAAGGGGTTTTTTGAATATTGATACGCACTGTTGAGGAGTCCACAATAGGACGAAACAGCTGTCCAGGGCTTCCAGGTTTATCATGGTCGTGTTGCTTCAGTTGACTCATGATCAAAACTATTGAAATTACAAAATCAATTGTTTCGAACATATTCAAAATGAATTTTTGGTAAGACTATAATTTATGGACAACCTTTGAGCGACACAAGACTAACCTTGAGAGTATTCACCTAATAACTAGGATCAAATGAGGATTAGAATTAGAATTATGATTTACAGTTGATGTTTTAAGTTAGAAATTAAATTTAAGTTTTTCATCATAAACTGACATCCGCTATATAATTTCAAAAACTCTATTTATCCAAATGAATGAGCAAATTTCACGCCAAATATCAGAAATCTATTATCATATACATGATTGATATGTTCATCAATTATAGTCTCATCGAAATTTTTTTTATCTTCTTTTTGTATTATGTATTAATATTTTACATTTACAATCTTATCTCTCCTACCCTCCTTCTCCTTCTCCTCCTCCCCCTCCTCCTCCTCCTCTTACTACTACTACTACTACTTCTACTAGTACTATTATTTTGTTCCCTTTTTTTTTTCTTTGAAAAAAACCTTATTGTTATTATGCTTCAATGATTATAATTTTTCGGACAAAATTGATTGAAATTCTTGTCAATCGTTTTTCGTCATTGTGATGTAAACAAATTAGAAGAATAAAAAAAACTTCATTGTGACCATTAAGCTGATGACGATGATGATGGTGATGTTGGTTACGTTCTATTTTGTCAATGAATAAATGATTAACAGAAGGGGTTTTTGTAGAGATTTAGTATTTATATAGTTGAAAGTAAGAGTCAATTGAAGTTAGACTGCCAGGGAAAATCTGAAAACACTCGACGGTCGTTTCGTCCTATTGTGAGAATTGATATTAATTCTACCTTTTATTATGAAGTTATGCAAAGTTTATATTACTATACCTTGGCAACTTGTAACTGTGCATCTACGAACAGACTTTGGAATGAAGATCACTAATTTGATTACTTAACGTAATGGTCAGATATGTTTCCATTGAAATTTTCAATTATATTATTACAAAGAGTATATACACGTGTTGGTTAACCTTTCCCTCAACTTCATATATATCCTTAACAATATATTTACATAGAGCACAGTTGAATCAATGTCGAAGTTAACCGTCAACTAATTGAGTCGCTAATCAATGACACTATTCTGTTGATGTAGATAATTCTACGTTCAAGAAATTTAAAATCTTGTAAACAAATATACACTCAAATTATGAGCTGAATGCCATTCAGTTTTCATACAGTCGTTGTACTTACATTAGGCTTCATAACCGGATGACCCTAAGTGGAAATTCATTCGTAAGATATTTGGATAAAATAATTTTTTGTCGCTAGATCGTTAACATCATATGTATAGTTCTAACTCAATGCACTCAGACAGAATACACTAAAGTATTTAGTCAGAATTTATCTGAGTTTACATACTTGTTTACTATTCTACTTGATGTCGTTTTTTTCTTATTGACCATGAATAATTAAGTGTGACAAAAGTATTTTTACAGTTGAATTCATTAGTCAATATAAGCTAGACCACCATTGAATACCTAGAAGCAGTGAACGGTCGTTTCGTTCTAGTATGGGACTCCTCAACAGTGCGCATCCATGACCTCACACGTGAGATTCGAACCCAGGACCTTCGGTCCCATGCACGAACGCTTAATCTGCAGACCACTGAATTGGTATCCAACGATGATCATGTCTAACTTCAATCGATGCATGATCTTGCTAAACACTTCATGTACTATCTGAGGTGTATTACCAACCTACATTCGACACGTACTGACATCATTTAAGTGTTTTTTTTTCTTTTACAAATATCCATTATGTATCTATTCTGTCTAACTAATTAACCTTAATTTGTTATTCCATAATTGATAGAAATTTATTTCCGGAAAATGTAGTACAAGCATGTTTACAACAACAACAAAGTAGTTATGTCACAATTGTTAAACGTCCAAAGTATGTTCGATTAACTGATGGAACCAATGGTACATTGAATATGAATAATAAAACAAATCTAATCAGTTATGAAGCTATAAAAGCGAAATATGTGGATAGTACTAATGTTTTAGGTAAGAGGTATTTCATAACAATTTACTTGCTTTGTTCACTTTCTTTATGGTCATTGTTCTGAATATGTTTTATTGTGCTACAAATATGTGTAATTTATACAGGACACCAATGATCTTAGTTATAGTCAAAGTATGGTTAAAGCTGTCACAATGTTGTGTGGGTTACTGATATTCACATAAGTAGTATATGTTATGGTTGGACATTGAATGTATTTTAATAGAAGATCGATAAGGGAAGAATGGGAATAGCATGCAATTGGTACGAAAATGCATGAACAATCATAATCGGAAACTATGAACGGATATTTGCAAAGGAACAGTCAAGATTGAGACAATTCATTGATAGTTTGCAAATTAACTGTTCATTATAAGTTCATTTAGTATTGTTTGTTTGAATCTTCCCATCGATATGTTAGGACTGCAACTGGTCAGTCTCTTATGGGCATATGTGCACACTGTGCGTATTGCCTCGATATAGCCTTAATTCACCTCATCGCACAAGCAAGTGACTATCAGGACTCAGTGGCTGTGTGGACAACGCGATAGCATTTGAAGCAACCAGTACTGGGCTTGAATCCCAGAGTGAACACCAATTCTGAGATGCAGGTACATCCAGCTGACGAGTCCCAAATAGGATGAAGTGACGCACGTCGTGGATTCCAGTGCTAGCCACTATCCATCTTTGTTCACTATAAGGTTCTCATATTTTAATGAGTTATTCTGTAATGTTGTCGATTGTCCCCACTCATGTTCTATTCACTACAACAGTACTTGACAGTGTTGAGTAAGGAAGTAAATAAAATAAACATATAGAGCATCAAAAGAGTGCTGAAGTCATTGAATCTCAATTACTGTGTTTATTTATTGGTTGCAATTGAAGTAACTTGATAAAGTACGGTAACTACGAGATTTTTGAAGGGGGACGGGCATGCATTACTATCGTTTACTATCCTTTACAAACTGAATTCAATTACACTGTAGTGAACAACAACACATGGGCGGGGGACAATCGAATGTATTTTAACACAACATTACAGAATATATCATTCAAATACGAGAACCATATAGTGAACAGTAAATTTTGCAAGCTAATAATGAATTGTCTCAATCTTCACTGTTCCTTCTGCAAATATCCGTCCATAGTCTCCAATTATAATTGTTCATACATTTTCTTACCAGTTGCGTGCCTTTCCCGTTCTCTCCTTATCGATCTTCTACTGAAATACACTAAATGCCCAACCATCACCACATACTACTTATGTAGATATAAGTAACCCACGCCACAACAGTACTACAAAGTTATGTTGGGTTGATTTGAAGACTTTTCAGAATTAGATAATAGTGCCATCTCAATAACATATAGTCCTAAATACCTTCAATCTGTATTGTGTTTAAATTAAATCAGAATACTACTGATCTCACTGAATTCCATAAAAAACTACTGTAAACGGATAACTAAATACGTTGAATAACATGTCCCAAACTCCATTGATCAGTATTTTCACCATGCCAAATTTTATCGTCTCGACTTATCTATGAATTACTTATTGTATCTTCTGACTAAACAGATGAAGATAAATAATAATAGAGGAGAATAAGAAAATCAAGCGAACACATGAAGGCGTAGCACACCTAATGTTATATATATTGTAGAATTTAGACAATGTAATGATCGTTTAGTCGGTTGGAAGTAATAGACAAGAAACCTTTGACCTAGGTTTCAAGCTAGTTACTACTAATCAGTAAAGTGTACCTGAAATCCTGAGGTAGCTGATGTTCTCTATAGGATTTAAACCCATGTTATCCAGCTTCACTATTTGAGTTTTTAAGAGTGAACTGTTCGAGTCATGACTAACCTCTTGTTGAACTGCAAATAAACATATTTGATGAGAGTGAACTAGGGAAATAAATCCAAGTTCATAGTTTACTGTCAGCTACTTACAACCAACTTAAAAAACAACATGGTGCAGGCGATCTCAAGTTCATGAGTCAACTTAAGCTAGATCACCATGTAAAATCTGGATGCACTGAACGATCGTTTCATCCTAATATGGGACTCCTCAACATTGAGCATCCACAATCCTGCCCGCAGGATCCGAACCCAGAACCTTCGATCTTGGGCGAGAAAGCTTAACCTTTATACCACTGAGCCGGCAACTAGTGCTTCCAGGTTTTCCTTGGTGGTCTAGCTTAAATCGACTCATGAATCCAACCATTAAAATGGCAATTATCTAAGTAGAGGTTAGATAACTTAATTAGGGTAACAATAGGATAAGATTTTAATCACAATCATAGATTTACCATTGTAGTAATGAATCGACAACTGAACATATACATTCTGTCTGAACGTTTTGATAGTAACTTAAACAAGTTAGGTACTTTTGTCTGTCGATGACATAACAGCGATTGATTACATCTTGAAGTAATGTATTATGTTTTTTCTAATGCAATCATACCCTTCAACTTTAAATATTTTTTTCGGGACGTGACCAGAAACAAAATGTTATGCATATTCTTCTACCTTAATTGTTGTTTCAGGTTAATTAGGATTCATAAAAGGGAGCTAATTGTATGAAATTCTTAATAATGATCTATTAACGAAATAATAAAAATGAATGATTAAGGTCATAATTGAAAAGGTATCAGGGAATAATAGGATTACCTAATTATCATTGTTATTATTATTATTAGTTGTTAAGGTATGGAAAATGTTTTATTGCATTCAAAGCAAAGATGGATAGTGGTTAACAATGGAATTCAGAACTCGCGTTTTGTCCTATTTAGTACTCATCAGCTGGACATGCCTACATCCCAAAGTTGATATCCACTTCGGGACTCGAATCCAGTACCGTTCGCTTCAAACGCCATTGCATTATCCACTTAGCTACTGAGTCTTGATAGCCACTTGCTTTTGCAGTTTAAATTTACTTTGTTTAAATTCATTTTGCCTGTAATACTTGTAAATTAAGGCAATTTCGAGGCAATACTCACAGTATACACATATATCAATAAGAGATTGATCAATTGCAGTCCTAAATATCAATGGGAAGATTCAAGTAAACAGTAACAAGTGAATTCATTTTATAAATTGGTAAAAAAAATATCAAGCTAGTTATTGAAGAACAACGAGGAGACATAAATCATCAAGGAGTCGAGGCAGTAATGCATATTAGATTCTAAAGATGTACTAGTATTATATCCATAGCTTTATATTCATGAGGCATATTGTATGCAAACTATTTAAGGAATACTATGTAAGAAAGATCATCATCATTGTACTTCAGTAGTCGATTCCAATAGTAAGCTATCCACTATGAAATGAAATTCTTTAACTTTATATGTTATATTTTATTCAGAAGGCTGAAGGTAGTCGACAAAAGAACCTTTCGACTACATCGCAACATAGTGCACATGATATCATGACACTTAACCCATTGATCAATAAATTTTACTTAGCAATTAAACGATTAGACACTCATGTCACTGCTCGCTACACACAGTGGTAGTATGTTACATTATAAATAACATAGTGACTAAAGACGGATAGTGGTTAGCAGTGGAATCCACGACCCACGTTTCGTCTGATTTGGGACACGCCAGCTGGATGTACCTTCATCTCTGATTTAATGTTCACCCCGGGACTCGAACCCAGTACCCTCACTTCAAATGCCATCGCGTTATCCACTCGGCCACTGAGTCCTGTTAGCCACTTGCTTGTGCGATGGGGTGAAGTTTAAATTCACTTAGTATTGTTTGTTTTAATCTTCCCATTGATGTGTTAGGACTGCAACTGGTCAGTCTCTAATTGGCATATGTACATACTGTGAGTATTGCCTCGATATATCCTTAATTCACAAGCATGGTAAGCAAAGATGGACTGACCAGTTGCAGTCCTAACATATCGATGGGAAGATTCAAACAAACAATACTAAATGAATTGAAATAACATAGTGACTGTTATTCTTGAACCTTGTTTTTATTTCACAGTTTGAGAATTCACTTAAAGAATAAGAAAGGAGAGCAATTTCAATGTAGATTTCAAAATAAACATGCCTTTAAGGTTTTGGGAGGAAAATTGAATTTGTACAAAAACAAAGTTCTTCTCTTTCCTTTACTCATTGTGGGGGGGGGAATCGAATCATAAATAAGCTACTCTGAATAGAACATCAATCAAAAATCCCCATTCATTTTATATTGGTAACTATCTCATTAGTATTTGATTTCGTTGCACACAAAGATATATGATCAGTCACATGTCTTTTGAATTGAAATGACTTCATCTCTTATGTTCAATGCTTGACTTGTTGACTTGTTTCCAAGATGTTTGAATGATATTTCAGTATGCATATTAGTGTACTAAACAAAAACAAAGCAAATTTCTTGCTTGTATTCACGACAACAGTAACAGTCATGATTAGTTGTGTAGTTGTGAAAAGTTACTAATGAACAGCAAAATACTGAAACTTAAGAAAGAGTTTATCAATGTGTAGTGAATGAGAACACAGATGAGTTCAACCAACTATGTATTTATCGCAAATTACAACGTTGCTTGATCTTCTCAATCTTCTGCTGTTAGATATTCTATTCATTACTCACGATATATACTACTTATGTCGATATAAGTAGCCAACACCACAAATGAACTAATTTACATGTGTAAAAAAAAGTTTATTTCTAGTCAAAGATAATGAAATAATAGCTATCAGAATGAGAATTGTGAGGACTGTAGTAATTTTGATCGTTAGATTGATCAATCAGTCTAAGCTGTGAATAGTAGAGTTCAATCTGTGTCGGGTTGAGATAGTTATCTACCTCAAATAATTCATGAAGGGTTGCGCAAGATTATAGATAGATTGACGTAGGACATGAACACCGTTTGAGGTGTAAAACTATCTCCACTCGACACGGATTGAAATCTACTAGTCACGGCTTAGATTGACGGTGTTAATTTCTTACTTCAATAGAGTTGCTGGTTATTACCAATGAACACCATCAAAACAATTGTTATTTTCGACTTCTGAATAATGTTTTAACTTATGACGTTGTGGGCTATTCAATCTATGGCGTAATGATATCGTCAATTAGAGACTAATGTCTTATCGACCAAACCAATGACGCATAAATTCGTACAAGCAATCTAAAGTCTTTATTGATTCTTCTTCCTGCTTAGCTCTGCCTGTTAAGTCCAGAAACAGCAATATCAGCCTCCGCGATATGAATCATGTATGTCAAAAATATTGGGTTTATACACAAATCAAACAGATCACAGAAAGTAAAATTTGTACACGATCTAGCCAAAAGTGGCTATGAATATGGGAGATTGTAATTAATAGACTGGGCATAACTGAAGAACAGTAAATCATATAATAATTTTCTATAGGTCAAAATAAAGCTTATAATAAGAGGAACATGAATATGCATAGTAAGCAAAGATGAATAGTGGCTAGCAGTGAAATCCAGGATGCGCGTTAATTCTATTTGGGACTCGTCAACTAGATGTACCTGCATCTCAGATTTGATGTTCACTCTGGGACTCGAACCCAGTACGCTTCGCTTCAAACGCCATCGCATTATCCACTCGTCCACTGAGTCCTGATAGCCACCCCATTACATGCTTGTGAATTAAGGCTATATCGAAGCAATGCGCACAGTATGCACTTATGCCAACTAGAGACTGACCAGTTGCAGTCCTAACACATCGATGGGAAGATTCAAACAAACAATACTAAACGAATGAATATGCACAATTTAGTTACGTAATAATTGGACAATAAAAGTACATGTGTAATATTATTCCATAAATAGATCCCAACAATCACCATCAATTCTTTTCATCAGGATATAACAAATACTTTCAAGTCAATTCGTATCGGGAATCAGAGAATTTTTTAACGAATAAATGCACAATTCTTGGATCGGTAAATTTTAGAGTCTAATTGAAGAAAGTAACTTCAACAGATCTTTCAATAGTTAAAACTATTCAGTAGAATTAGTCACCACTAAGAATACTGATTACTGTGAACAATTATAATGTGTTGCTAGGTATTATTCATTCGATATGAATTCCTAGCATTAAATATTTGATAGTGACCAATGGATTTCAACCAGGTCTGTTGTGAGATAGTAACTCACTGAAGACAATGGTGAGCGGTAGCTCAATTTTGTGAATTGGTTGAAGTTACACATTAACACCATTGGATGCCGGCCCAGTGATCTACGGATTAGGCATCCACGCGCGAGACCGATAGATCGTGATTTCGAATCCGGCGTGAGGAATTGTGGATGAAATGTCCCATACTAGGATGAGGCGGTCGTGCTGTGCTTCCAGGTTCTTCAAAGTAGGGTAAACTCACACTCTATTATTCTTAACAATTGACTTATATCAGTTTGATTATTCAACTCAATAGCTTTGTTCATTCTACAACTGAATCAAATTTCAGTAAACATATTGAAAACAAAATTTAATCCCCTTGTTAACAATCACTATGTGTGTTTTTCTTTTTTGTTGTTTATTATTCAAATTTTGTAACCATTCAACTAACATTATTTAACTGAGGAATTAAGAATAGAGAAACAAAAAAACGAGAAAAAGAACAAAAAAAAACAAAAACGAAGATTAAGCAGATCTGTTAGGATTATTTAATATCTGTGATATCGATACCGAAAAAAATGATCAAATAACGAGATTGAAATTTATTCGTATCCATTTCAAGGGATATTTCGTGGAGTTCTAGCGAAGATCAGTAACCAGCGGAGTTCAACCAGGTCTGTTGTGAGATATCAAATCACTGAAGAAATTGGTGAATGGTTACTCAATTTCATGAATTGGTTAAAGTTAAACAATAACACAGTTGGATGCCAGCCGGCTCAGTGGTCTACAGATTAGGCGTTCGTGCGCTAGACTGATAGATCGTGGGTTGAAATATCGAGAGGCGGGATTGTGGATATGCACTAGTGAGGAGTCCCACAGTAGGACGAAACGGCCGTCGAGTCCTCCCAGGTTTTTCATAGTGGTGTTGCTTCAATTGAGAAACAAAAAAACGAGAAAAAAACAAAAAAACAAACAAAGATCAATCAGACCTATTAAGATTGCTTAATATCTGTGATATCGATACCGAAAAAAAAAGATCAAATAACGAGATTGAAATTTATTCGTATCCCTTTTTCTTTATAATGAATAATCTAATAATCGAATCTCTTTTTTTGTAGTCTTTTATTTCTCTTTATCCATTTTACATGTTTTATTACATACTAACCATAATATTCATGTATCAATTAGAGATAGACCACAAGTGAAACCTAGAAGCATTGGACGGACGTTTCGTTCTAGTATGGGAATTCTCAACAGTGAACATACTACCTGCGGCACTCTGAACCAGATGCTCGTTAGTGACTAGCTTCAAAATGAATTTCCTGAAGTTCTAATGAGAAGCAGAAACCATTGAAGTTCAACCAGGTGTATGGTGAGATATTAACTCATTGAAGACAATAATGAATGTTTCGCTCAATTTCATGGATCGGTTAAAGTTAGACATTAACACTATTGGATATCAGCTAATTGTTCATGACGTTAAGCACTCGCGTGCAAGATTGATAGCTCCTGGGTTTGACTCTTGCGAGGCGGGATGATGTATGAACACTGTTGAGGAGTCTCATACTATGAGGAAACGACCATCGAGTGCTTCCAGGTTTTTCATGGTGGTCTACTTTCAATTAACTCATGAATTCAACTATAAAATTACTAAAATCTCTACACAACACTCTACTGATGATATTATTTGTCTATTTTTCCTTATTGCTTTTTAAACTATCCTGATGTTAGTTGTATTTTACCGAAATACGGCCAGATTCCATGGATTATTATTATTATTAATGGCTTTATTCAATAATATATTTTGGTACAATATAGAATACTCAGCACGAGGTATTTCATTAAGTTTCTTTTACAAAAACAACAAAAGAGAAAGAAGGAAGCGGTGAAGAAAAAATCTACAACTGTACAACTTTTCAATTAGAAATATGTTTAAGGATATAGGTTATTGATAAGGTCTACACTAACAATCTGATCGTCACAGAGTATATTTGCTAGGTAAGGTATTATAGAAATTGTATACCTATGCTTGCGTTAATAGATCTTAGTTTATTGACGTCTTGTGGTACCAGAAGTTATACAAGGAGAAAGATATGAATGAAGTGAATGGTTAGTATCTGATAAGATAACACCTGCCATAAGTTTGCGAGACTTTAGATGTATATCCATAATCATGATAATGATGACCTCAAAATATTCACCGCTTACCCTGCTAACTGCCTTCAGTAATTTCTGGAATACAGCAAAGTCTATTCTCGATAGCCCAGGAACGGGTAATGGGGAACAGTAAGAAATAATAAGTAATATGCAGGAATTGACAAATTGTAAGATTAAATGTTGAGTAATCCCAAAAGTCAGACTGTAAACTTTCTTCGATAACAGTAAAACATGAGAAGACTAGAAGAGATCAGAGGGAAAAGTAACAAAAAGATAATTGACCGTCGTATATGAACTTTCGCCACCAGGGCAACCAACATCATATTTCAGTTTCCATGATTAGTGAGGAGTCCCAAAATAGGACAAAACGGCTGTCCAGTGCTTCCAGGTTTTTCATGGTGGTCTAACTTCAATTGACTCATAATCTCAACTATATAAAATCGCTATAATCTCCACAAAACCCCCTTCTGTTAGTGATACTTGTTAGAAACTTATTTCAAAACACCAAGATATAATCTTTCTGCATACACAAAAGAAAAACTATGATCCTCAAATACAAGATACAGAACACCAACGCAAACACACCTCATAGAGAAGCTCTGGAAGATGTTGAATCTTTCACGTACCAGGTCATCATCGATGAACGTGGAGGATCGGATGCAACTCAAAACAGCTGTCATCTAATATCAAATTCACCATCTTGAATACGAACGTCAGCACAGTTCTACTGTAGGGACTTGAAACTTGAAGAATTACCACAGCCATCATCGAAAATTTACATGTATTTATAAACAATTGTCTACGTAAGATACTCAATGTCCATCGGTCGGATAACATTAGCAACAGCCTTCTGTGAGAGGGAACAAACCAGCTTGCAGCTGAAGGGGAAATTATGAAAAGATGATAGAAGTAGATAGGACATACATTAAGGAAATAATCAAACTCCATCATGAGGCAAGCACTAACTTAGAATTTTGAAGGAAAACGTAAAACAGGGAGGCTGAAGAAAATACACTGCATCGAAAATAGGAAGCAGACATGAAAAGAATGAATAGCAACTGTAAAAGATTAAATTCAACTATCCATCTCTGCTAACCATGCTTGTAAAAGATTGCCTAAGACAGGGTTGGATTGATAGTGTTGGTCGGTGGCTTATGCTCATCCATGAGGGGTAGATGTTTAAGTAAGGAAGGAAGATGTAATCCTATAAAAAGCTTATTATCGTGTCAACTGTAATTCTGCTAATCTGTTCTATTCAGATTAGGATTAATAATATTGATTAAAGCTTATTTTAATCAAATTAGTCCCAACTATAAACGGCATATGTTCTATTGAGACGATTTATTAAATTTTGCTTCTAATATATATTTTTTTCTAAAATGATAGGATTGGTGTCATTTTCAATTATGTTTGGTATAATACTTGGTCAAATGGGTGATCGTGCTGTGATTATGGTCCAGTTCTTCTCTGTTCTTAATGAAGTTGTCATGAGAATGGTTCAAGTTATTATGTTGTAAGTAAATTTCACTTGTAATATATAATTATTAACTCAATATTTACTGAAGAAGATATTGATGGATCATATAATAATAATCACTATCTGTGGTGACCATAGAGTTTTATCGATCGTGTTGTAGTGTTGTAACTGGTCTAAGTGATTCACCGTCATTTGCGTTACATTTAGACGTGAGATCACTAGATCACATTTCCACCAGCTGACAATTCCTGGTCTGACCAAAACCTCGGTTAAGATATCCCTTTAGGTTACATCTAATCCCATTATAGCATAGGAAAATAGTTTCATCATTAAATATCTACTCAATACAAGAGTAAATAATGTTCAGTTGTCAATAGTGAGATTCGTATTCAAAAAGAACATTCTTTGTAAAACATTCAATTTTGCACAAATTTTAAAATTCTTCTTCATACAGAGATTTAACCATACATGAATGTTGTTAGCAAACTAAGTATTACATTACTTCTAATTTGATGATGAAGTTTAGGATATGACGTTTTAAAGATGAGTGGATAACGCGATGGCGTTTGAAGCGAAAGGTACTGGGTTCAAGTCCTAGAGTGAACATCAACTGTGAGACGCAGGTACATCCAGCTGACAAGTCTGGAATAGGACGAAACGCGCGTCAAACTGGATTCCACTGCTAGCCACTATCCATCTTTGCTCATCTTGTAAACTGTTATAGTATAAATTCCAACGGCGTTTCAATTCAGAAGGCATCGAGAAACGGTAACTACAATTTATTAGCGGATGATAGCACAGGTATTAAAATTACAGTTGAATCGAGCAAAGGTAGAGCAGAGAAGTTAATATTTGTAAGCGAGGGAATACTGAGGAGAATTTATAGTCAAATTGATTCAAGGAGCAGTGACGCAAGGTAAAGTCAATTATTAGTATTGGAATACATATATACACATGGGAAAGAGAATGGATCATCTAGATATATTTAAACCATTAACATTTAAGTTAAAGATATGTACGTAGGCTGTCATATGTGACCAAGTGTACATACATGATCATGATCATAACGGAACAAAGAAATAGACAAATTGTTACTGTCCAAATAACATTGTCTCTTAAATATGTTACCCATAATCAAAATTGAATTGTAGGAATGTTGCCATAGTTACAACCAAATAGCACACATACATTGATCATTTCAATCTGTTTATTGTTTTTTTTTTACTCTTTTTTGTTATTTCAGATATTCACCATTTGGTATATTCTTTTTAATATTGGGTAAAATGTTAGAAATTGAAAATTTAAGTGATACAGCTAAAGCATTAGGTTTATATATGATTACTGTCATCTCTGGTTTAGCTATACATTTACTTGGTACATTAGCATTACTTTATTATGCAGTAACAAGAAAGAATCCATTTGTATTCTACAAGGGTTTATTTCAAGTAAGTAATTATAATATTTTTTAAAATATGAATAATAATAATAATGACAATAGTAATAATAGACCCCCAAATGCCCTGGTACTGCCGAGAGTGGAGAGATTCCACTCTCCTTCTCGAAATGCCACGCGTATATAGCCTCTGCCAGGGAAGTCCTAATCACTGTTTTCTCGTGACCGGGGTGTTGTTTACGAAATTGAGAAGACAAAATGTGAATGTCCGGCGGTTTAACGGGGTTGGAGGACATGGAAGATTCACCTAGGGGCGTTGGAAAACTCTGATATCAAACCAATGGTGGTGGTGTGGTATCCTGAAGGAACAAATGGCGTATGAACCAATTGTTGGTTACCGGCTGCCATGAGACTGCATCTCCTCAGGATGCTACACTGCCTAGTGGATCAAACCTTTAGATCGATGGCTCCGGATGCGGCCCCATAAGAAAACCACCTGATTCAATTTGGGTACCTTTGCAGTATAACACCCAACGCACAAGTCAATTCGACGTGTGTGGCGCATATGTATTCGGTGCCCCATTTTACCAATATTTATGTGTTTAAATAGATGAAGCAATAATAATAATGGTAATAATAGTAACAACAACAGTAATATTAGTAGTAATAATAATAATTACAGAATTCACGCCAGTTTAATAGGCATGATGAAATTGATATAAATGGTAACATTAGGTATAAAGAACAAACATGTGATATAAGATTGCTTTTAGTTTACTAATTCAGTAGTTGTTTAAGTAGTACATTTATGACATGAATTATAGCAATCCAATTATTCTTCAAGGAACTTTAAACTTTTTTTGTTAAGTGGATAGCCTGTTGATTTATGAATGGTGTTATTTAAGGTTATTTCTTATGCCAGGACTAGTTATTGATAATTATCTATAATTAGACAAAGTAAAATGAAAACAGAGGGCATGAGACAATAAAACAATGATTAGCAAAATATGTCAGTCAGGTCTATCACTGTTCATGTTAGATATTATTCAAATAAGTTGAAGTTGCTAGGGGTAGTGTTGACAGCAGGTAAATGGTTTTACTTGGAGAATTCACTAATAAGAATGGCTAAGCATTTGTAGTTTCTATAATCTCATTTGTGGAGTAAGATACACTTATATGTGCTAGATTACTCAATGCATTTTCAGAGGAGCAGTATGCATCAATGCAGAGAACAAAGAATGAGAGAGATTTTATCACACGAATAGATTGCGGTAGATTATTCCAGAGTCGCAAAAATTTACATGTAAAGTAATTTATATAGAAAGATGATTTAGAATGCGTTTGTTTCGCTAGTGACAAGCAGTTACGTATATCGAAGTGAATTGCTTGGTTGGATGTAAAGGATAGTTTCTTAAGTATTTTGAAGAAGAAGAAGAAGAAGAAGAAGAAGATAAGATTTAGTTTGATTCTCCTCTTTCGTAAATGGTCGAGCCGAAGTTTACTAGAATTATAAGTCATGAGTTATTAAGACTCAATATAAATCACCTTTTCATATATATGTAGCTCAACTTTTTGTCAATCTATACTTTGTGTTGATTTTAATGAGATCAATTATGAAACATTGGTAGTTTACTAATATTTGACTACAGATGCCTCTGAAGCTTCAGTTGCATTTGTTCGGTTTACCTAATGACCAATGCTGAGGTTAGATATAAATTGATGAGTAAGTATAATCAATTGGTCGATGTGGCCCTAATCAAGACTGGATTTGTTCATAAAGTCATAGACGATTGAATTAAGTCACTTAGGTAGGCGGAAACTATCTGGCTGGGGTCCGCGTATGATCGTCAACCGTGGTTAGAGACGTTGCGTAATATGGATCAGAATTTATCTCAATTACATAGACTCATTCACTGTTTTTCTCTTCTTAGATCATTTTTTATCAGAATAAGGTTTTATGGAGATTATAGTAATTTTAATAGTTAAATTCATGAGTCAATTTAATCCCAGTAATCTAAAGGTTAAGCTTTCGCATGCTAGATCGAATGTCCTACGTTCATGTCCCTCATGCGAGATCGTGGATACGCACTGTTGAGGAGTTCCATAATAAAAACAAAACGGCCATCCGATGCTTCCAGGTTTTCCATGGTGGTCTAACCTCAATTGACTCATGAATTCATTATCCGTGTAATATTCAAATTCTATCGAAAAATAATTTGTCTAAATTCTTCATTAAATTTATAAGAAAATAATTTTTTTCCTTTTTTTGGATGAGATTAGAATAGATTAATAACCATGGTTATTCATTTTCATTTTACCTTAGTTAAAGAAAAAGATTAACCTCACACGTAGTCATACGCACACATACACACACACACACAAGGAAGAATCAGGACAAAATTTATTATTCACCTTGTATAGGATGAAGACCCCATCCCCTCCCCCTACTAAAAATAATTATACACTCTAAAAAGAAAATGAAGTAGTTGATTTACCGTAATTAGAAGAAGAATTAAAAATAACGAACTAAACTTTATGTGTAGAATTAAGAAAAGAAAGAATGTAAATTAGTTCATTTAAATGGGAGAGAAGGGGGGTGGGGGTTGGGGTGGGGTAAATGAATTGGTCGTTAATCATAAATGTATCCTAGATATTATGATCTAATTTTTTTTTTTAATAATAATTAATCTTATCTCTTCTTTACACTTTGGTGAAAATGTAGATATTTTTTTTGGGAGGGGGAGGGTTCGGTTGTACAGTTTCTTTTTTTTCTTCTCTCTTAAATCAAGGTAGTTTTAATAAGATTTAGTTTGAATTATTATCAAGTTAATTGATTGTAACGAATAAATGAAATAAATATATTTTTTTAGTATCAATCAGTGATCAAGTAATTGTTGTTAGGGTATTAGGTTTTAGTGATATTTATTCTTTTATTTGAACACATAAAGATTGGTACAAGGGGGTACCAGATTTATATGCGCCACACAATTGTTTGAGGGCTATGATACTGCCTGGGTGCCCAGATCGAAGCAAGTGGCTTTCTTAAACGGATCACACCCAGAGCCATTGGCCTAAAGGTTTGACCCACAAGGTAGTGGATCATCGTGAGGAGACGCAGTCCCATGGTAGCCAGTGACCAGCAACAGTTTCATACGCCATTTGTTTCTTTATGGTACTGGAGCCCAAGTGCACCATTGGTTTGGAATCAGGGTTTCCCATTTGAAAAAAAAAGAAATGAACGCGTATACGAAAGAGTATTTTAGGCGTTTTTCCAAAATGGTGATAAGTATATCACACTGGGTTTATATACAAACCAAACAGATCACATCATACCATAAAATAGAAAAACAACATTTGTACAAGATTCAGCCAAGAGTGGCTGTGAATGTGGGAAACAGTAATTAATAGACTGAGTATAACTCGACAATGGTAAGTCATATAATTCTAGTCTATGAGTCAAAATAAAGCCTATAATAAGAGTGACACGAATATGGGTAGTTTAGATACTTAACAACTATGCAATAGGAAATATGCATATCATATTGGTCCATAAATAGTCCTAAAAGTTACCATTCATAAATCTCCACAGGATATAACACATTAGAAAACGTCAATAGTAGATTTGATTTCTATTAGGATAATGAATGCATACTACCATTGAAAATAAAGAATTCTTCAATGTTTATAACAGAATCTTACTGATATAATTGACCAAATAGATCTTTGCTGCGGATGAATGGTCGTTGATTTCTTTCAGAAGACTGATGTATATATATAGCATGCTTCACCACTATGATTATTATCACTAATACTGTATTGTATTATTTCTCTCTCTCTATTTCATTTTGTTTGATACCACCAACAAAAAGGCTTGGATTACAGCACTTGGTACTGCATCCAGTGCAGCTACTCTACCAATTACATTTCGTTGTTTAGAACAAAATCTAGGGATTGATAAACGTGTAACACGTTTTGTTTTACCTATTGGTGCAACAATCAATATGGATGGTACTGCATTATATGAAGCTGTTGCATCCATTTTTATTGCACAAATTAATGGAAAATATTTGACCATTATTGAAGTATTCATTGTAAGGTAAGTTCCAAAAACAAACAAAAAACCATTAAACCATAGAGAACGAAATTTACTTAGTATTGTTTGTTTGGATCTTCCCATTGATGTGTTAGGACTGCAACTGGTCAGTCTCTAATTGGCATATGTGCATACTGTGAGTATTGCCTCGATATAGCTTTAATTCACAAGTATTATAAGCAAAGATGGATAATGGTTAGCAGTGGAATCCAGGATGCGCGTTTCGTCCTATTTGGGAATCGTCAACTGGATGTACCTGCATCTCAGAGTTGATGTTCACTGTGAGACCCGAACCCAGTATCATTCGCTTCAAACGCCATCGCGTTATCCACTCGGCCACTGAGTCCTGAAAGCCACTTGCTTGTGCGATAGGGTGAAGTTTAAATTCATTCAGTATTGTTTGTTTGGATTTTCCCATTGATGTTTTTAGGACTGCAACTGGTCAGTCTCTAATTGGCATATGTACATACTGTGAGTATTGCCTCGATACAGCCTAAATTCACAAGCATGGTAAGCAAAGATGGATAGTGGCTAGCAGTGGAATCCAGGACGCGCGTGAATATGATAAGACTAAGTATTATAAAAATTTGAATCTTTAATCAATTATACCATAATTGAATACTTGATTTAAGCCTAAATTATATGAAGATAATCAATATAGAGTATGGGACCCTTATCTGACTCCATTTGGACCGTACGAATGATTGGCATTGAGATAAACATATCGTCACTCCTTGTATATAATCACCAACTTAACTAGTGTTAGTGATTAACAGAATTAAAATAGGTTAAATACTAGAAAGTATTTCGAATACGTATATTTTATACAACCATTGATCCAGGCAGATGATCAAAGGAACGAAGTGAACGGAAATGATACGCGGTTGAGAAGGTACGTGAGTCAACTGTATTTAATCTAGCTCAAAATAAGTTACAGACATGTGATGAGTAGTATAGCAAGTGTACACACATACGCTTTTGTAAAAGCAGTCAAAGTTGATAAGGGAATAATTAACAAGGTCAAAATGTGACTCAAGATGAATGGATAAATCTACTTGTCCAGAAACCACGATAAACTATGTGAGCTCGACATAGCATTTAATACAACAAGAGCATTGAAATTATTCTATATAGTATTTTACAATGAAGATATTTTGAAGCATAAAGCATAAAAATATCCTTCAGTTCTCTAGTTGAAATATAGAAAATAATTAAACTGTTATCCAAACAAACAAAAAAGTAACAAGTACACTTCACAAAGTGAATTCAACAAATCAGAAAGTTGGAAGCGTGAGTCAATTAAAGCTAGACCACCATGGAAAACCTGGAAGCACTAGATGGCCGTTTCATTCTATTATGAGGCTATTCAGCAGTGCGCATCCACGATCCCGAACTCGCGATATTCGAACCCACGGCCTACCAGTCTCGCACCAGAGCACTTAACCGATAGACCATCCAACGGTGTTAATGTCTAACTTCAACTGATCCACAGAGTTGAGCAACCGTTCACCAATTGTCTTCAATGAGTTGATATCTCTACAACAGACCTGGTTGAACTACACTGGTCAAATCAATCTGTAATTATTAATGAAATTGTATATCTGGAGAGAATGAAGAATAAAGACTTTAAGAACATTTAATATTATATTTATAGCTTAAACATTGGGGTTGTTATATCGATTACATTTAGTATATGAACGTGATAAGAGTGCCTATTGGGGAAACAGTGAATTTATTGATCGTCCAATGATACACAAAAAACATTATGAGCAGTCTTGAGTATCTATCAGTCCTGCTTTCTGCCTAACCCAGCCAGTTAAGTTCAGAACACGAATAACAGCTTCTATAATATGAATAATTATTCTCAAACATACTGAGTTTATATACCAAACAAACAGATCACATTGTACCATAAAATAGAAAATAACATTTGTACAAGATTTAGTCAAATGTGGCTGTGAATGTGCGGAACAGTAATCAATAAACTGGGGATAACTCAAGAATGGTAAATCATGCAGTAATAGTCTATTGATCAAAATTAAGCTCATAATAAGAGAGACACGAATATGAATAGTTCAGTTACTTAGCAATTATACAATAGAAAATATACATATCATATTGGTCCATAAATAGTCCTCAAGGTTGCCATTCATAAATCTCTTCAGTATATAATAATGTATTCGGTTGTTTGTTTGTTTTTCTCATCATTGTTTAAATACTACTTATTTTAACATCATTTATAAGTAGTAATTATCATCTTTAAATATATTGAATAGTTTATATTTATATGCATAACTTGCTCATCATTCTCATACTGTTTCAAAATAAAATATGAAAAAAAACAACAAAACAAATGATAAGAGTGATGAAAGAGAAATAGATAGGATGAAACAACCGTCCAATGCTTCCAGGTTTTCCCTCGTGGTCTAGTTTCAATTGACTTATGCTTTTAAGTATGAAAATACTGAAATCTCCACATAACCCCCCCCCTTCAAATAGATATTGAACAAATGAATAACAGCTCATTGTGTATTTATTTATACAGTTTTAATTCTCATGGTGATTTGTTTTTTTTCCTAATCTTCTATTCAAATGAATTTTTTTGTATTTGTTGATAGATCTGTCTTAGGGATTACTATCTATTGTTAGTTTGTTTATCATTAAAATCTTGTTTTTTTTGTTTTAATTACTAACAATCGTAATAGGAGTGTTATTTATTTTGATCAAAGTTTTCTGATATATAGGATTTTTTATGATATATCTTATTTTCAGTATAGGGTTATGGGGATTGTTAAGTTGTAATTGAGATCATGAACTAATCAATGTTAGAATAACATTAAAAACCTAAAAGCATTCGTCGATCGTTTCATCCTAGTATGGGACTCCTCAACAGTGCACATCGACGATCAAACTCAAAGGATTTCAACCCAGGACATTCGGTTTCATACTAAAACGAAACGCCTGTTCAATACTTCAAGGTTACCTATGGTGATTAATATACGACAAGCACTTTGGCAAATCAACTGTCGTAAATCCCTTGTAAATAAATATTAAAAAATATACAATCCAAATATGGATATAGATCAGTATCTTATTATATAATCCAATTGTTTCCCATCAATCATTTCTAAATGAAACCAGATAGTGATAGTGTACAAAATAGTATGAAAAGTTGATAGAAGTAAATTTAGGATCGATCGAAAAAAAACAATGTCTAGAAGTAAACATATGGAGAAATCAAAGATGAAACATGAAAAAAATATAAGAAAAAGAAACGAAAACTAAGCCGGCATCCAACGGTGTTAATGTCTAACTTCAGCCAATTCCCGAAATCGAGTAACCATTCACCAATGTCTTCAATGAGTTACTATGTCACAACAGATGTGGTTGAACTCCAATGGTCACTACTTCTCACTAGAACTAGAACTAGAACTCCAGGAAACAACTCTTGAAGTCAGTCACTAGTGAGCATATGATTATAAACAGAAGGGGTTTTATGGATTTGTTTATGGAAATATGTTTAATAAATGCTTCACTATTCACGTCAGATAAGTGATATCTATAAAATTGGATGTTCTAGAATTTTATCAGTAGAATATGGAATATATTCACCATGATTTCCTCTGATCTATTCCCTAGATAAAATCTATATGGAAAAAAGATAGAATGTTTATAGTAGTGGAAGTCACGATATTTGTTTTGTCATGTTAAGGACTCTTTAGTTGAACTTACTTATGATTATTATTAACTTTATTCAATATTATATTCTTGGTACAATATAGAATTCTCAGCACAAAGTACTTCAACAATTTTCCGTTTCTTACTTCTTTATCCTTCCTGACGATAAATATTAAGTGATCGCCAGTTACAAGTTAGCAGTCCAGTCCATTGATATCTGGATAATGTACATTCTTTTCGCTGTATATTTCCTGCCAGCAACCACGATATTTCTGATTAGGCCTTCTGTAACCTTCACAGCGAAAGATCTTACACTTTTCAGAAACGCACCTGAATAGGTTGTGCGATTAATAGCCATAATGATGTATTAAAACAAACAAAATTAGATAACTAGTTGAAATATCTAGATGACAGGAACAGATAGTCCAAGTGTTTAAACAGGCCGCCATAAACATCAGAGTCAATTTGCATTCGTGCCTTCAACATTGATGTCTGTAGCTTGAAACACTCAAATCATTATAAAGTTAGATATTAAGTTCACACAGCCACTGGCTTATGTAGCATGAACATATTTAAGCTCAATCTTTTGAAGATATGAAAAACAATACGATTCAGTAAATGATTAACCAATTAATAAATTGAGAAATTTCCCATCTTATGACTAAGTCTCTAATAATTTTAACTAGGTAGAATAATAATATTTCCAACATTCAATGTTATATATTCACCAATAGACTGATTTATTGATGTTTAATAACATTTTCATGGTTGAAATCATGAGTCAATTGAAAATAGACCACAATCGAAAGCACCATGGAAGCACTGGACGGCCGTTTCGTCCTATTGTGAGACTCCTCAGCAGTGCGTATCCACGATCGGTCAAGTGCTCTGGCACGAGACAGGTAGGTCCTGGGTTCAAAACTCGTGGGGTGGGATCGTGGGTGCACACTGCTTCGGAATCCCATAATAGGACGAAACGACTGTCCAGTGCTCCCGGGTTTTCCATTGTGGTCTAGCTTCAATTGACTCATGATTTCAACTATGAAAATAATAAATTCTTCACAAAACCTCTAGTTTAATAACATTATCAAGGTGAAATTTTGTAGTATTTAATATATAATCTGAAATATTTTATACAAAATCATCAACCTACTTAATAATTTCAAGTAGACACATTCTTAAATAATAGCTTAGAAATTCACAAGCATTATGAGCAAAGATAGATGATGGCTAGTAGTGGAATCCAGGACGCACGTTACTTCATCCTATTTGGGACTCATCAGCTGGATGTATCAGCACCTCACAGTTGATGTTCACTTTTGAACTCGAACGCAGTACCTTTCGACACAAGCAAGTGACCATCAGCACTCAGTAGATAAGTGGATAACGCGATGGCGTTTGAAGCAAAAGTTACTGGGTTCGAGTCCCAGAGTGAACATCAACTCTGAGATACAGGTACATCCAGTTGATGAGTCCCAAATAGGACGAGACGCGCGTCGAACTGGATTCCACTGCTAACCACTATCTATCTTTGCTTATATTGCTTGTGAATTTAGGCTATATCGAGGCAATACGCACAATATGCAAATATGAAAATAAGAGACTGATCATATGCAGTCCTAAACATCAACATGGAGATTCAAGTAAACAATAACAAGTCAATTTATTATAATTTAAGCTTTAAACTTTTACTGACTTGTTTATTAAATCCATTTTATAAATTATTCTTATTTAGCTTAACAGCAACATTGGCAGCAATAGGTGCAGCTAGTGTTCCAAGTGCTGGTTTAGTCACTATGATGTTAGTGCTTACATCTGTTGGATTGCCTACAAAAGATATTTCTTTAATTTTAGCTGTTGATTGGTTACTGTAAGTTTAAATGCATTGAATATCTAAAACAAATTATGTAATTTGTTTCATGATAATAAAATTGCTTTATAGTTTTACATTACAGATTGTCTTTAGCTTGACAACTAAAAAGTAAATGGATAACACTGAACATTGCTTTGTACTATTAGTAAACTTTTTAAAGATGTGCAAACATGATGTCACTTGGGTTCGAACTCAGGATTTGCAACACATACAGACAATGTACTACTCATAGATCATCAAGTTTCTATCCAACGGGAAACATATTCAAATTTAAAAATCCTCGATACTGTGTAACTGTTATCGATTACACTACCAACATGCTTGACTCACCACTGACTACCATTTCCAATTTTATTTGGGAGAAATAATGAGAGAATAAATCGCTACTAAGCACATAATCAATATTTGTGTATATCTATGGGGACTATTCAATTTTGCCATATACACTGAAAACTATCTTTATAAATAATCACTTCATACATTATATGAGTAGATATTTAGTAAGCTTTATATAGTTATTATCATGCAATTGATACTTAAGTGGGATATCAAAATCATGCCAACTAAATATATAAGCATTTATGTTAATATTCTGAATCAACTTCTTGCTTAGCACAAACCAATTCATACTTCAAAATGATTAATCAGTAAGTTAATCGTAATCAAAGATGGATAGCGGCTAGCAGTGGAATCCATGACGCGCGTTTCGTCCTATTTAGGACTCGTCAACTATACTGAGGCAATACGCACAGTATGCACATATGCCAATTAGAGACTGACCAGTTGCAGTCCTAACACATCGATGGGAAGATTCAAACAAACAATACTGAGTGAATGTAGTAAGTTAATTGGTTACAAAAGTTAATAATTGTAAGACTGTTGTCAATTAGGATCTCGAATCACTGGTAGAATACTATTTCATGTCGTTATATTATACAGTCCGCTTTTATTACAATGTATTGTTTTATGTTTAATGACACCTACCTAATCAAAAGAAGGAAACAAGGTTAGCTGAGGAATTTAGATGTAGGTTTGTTCTCTGAGCTGGATGGTTTGATCGTGGAGCATTCATCGTCCTTCTGAACGACATCATCAGCACAAACTTCGGGTAGAAGTGAAGTGTTTGAAAGAAGATAAAAGCTCCACAACCAAACCATCTAACTCAGAGAACAAACCTACATGTAAATCACCCACCTGAGCTACAAATCTTCTCCACCATCTCAAAATCTTCGCTGATGAATTTTATTGCTAAATGAATATGTTCATGATTAATGTGTATTTATAGGTATACAGAATGACATTAACGTATATATGGTAATCTTTAGCAGGATAATAAACTGTTGTTCAGGTTTCTATTAAACATAAATGAATTACTTTGCCTCTTCAGTATATCATACTTCTGTTAAAGAAATACATATATAATGTAAATGACATGTAGTTGAAATGCCAGTAAAAAAGTTCTATTCAAACAGTTTCATTTTGGACAAGATCTTCATCCATATTCACATAGGAAAACATGGATAACTCTGAGAATCATACAGTGAATACTTCATTTACAAAATATCCATTAATCGTCTCAGATATCAGTGTTGTTTCGTTTCTCCACCAATCATTCTTAGTTCTCGTTCTCTTTTCTTTGATCCTCTTAACCCTGTGGCGCCAGACATTCCACTTTCTATTGATTATACACACTGGTGAGGACTATCGATTGTATTTGAACACAACATTACAGAGTATCTCACTAAATTCTGATAACCATACAGTAAAAAGTTAATTTGCAAAATAACAATCAATTACCTCAATCTTCACTGTTCCTTCTGTAAATATCAGTTCATCTTCTAGTGATTTCATTGTTCATGCATTTTCATACCGATTGTGCTTCATTCCTGTTCTTTCCTTATCGATCTTCTGCCAAAATACATTCTATGTCTGATCATCACCAATATACTACTTATATGGATATAAGTAGACCACACCACAATTTATACTCGTTTGAGACTGTCCGAGCTAAAACAATGTTGATATTAACAACTCTCAAGTGTTTAGATAATTGCATCAAAATTTGTTTGTCTACAATTTTTACTTTCTCCCTAAAAAGTAAGTTAATGGGGCTGTGATGAGAAAAAACTCTTAATGAACGATTGAATCATAAATACTTGAAATCATGAGTCAATTGAAGGTAGACCACTATCGAAAACCTGGAAGCACTGGACGGCCGTTTTGCTCTATTATGGGACTCCTCAGCAGTGCGCATCCATGATCCCGCCTCGCGAGATTCCAACTCAGGACCTACCAGTCTCGCGCCAGAGCACTTATCCGATAGACCACTGAATCATAAGATAAACAGAAAAAGAAGTCACTCAGTTTTTTATCGATATCATTAAATGTTAATAACTTTGACATTTAACTATTTTCTATTTTCCAGTGATCGTATTCGTACATCAATTAATGTAATGGGTGATGCAGTTGGTGCTGGTATAGTAAATCATTTATGTTCTAAAGAATTAGCACAAAAAGATGCTGAAATCGATAAAGAAATTGATGAAGTTGTAGAAGAATATACACGTGAATTATCTAATACAACATCTATGAAAGATCGTGAAAAACGTAATTCATCTAGTTTAAATCGTCATCATAAAAAACGTATGAGTTTAGCTGCTGCTATACGTTTACAAGAGAATACATCGCCACTTGGTACAATGATGCCAAATCAATCAACCATTAATGATATAGATACATCAACATCTTAATAATATATTTATCAATGAGCAAATGAAACTTAAATATATCAATCCACCCCCTTATTTTAGTTTCTATGTTAAACATTTTAATCATCTGAATATGTTCCTCTTTTAAAAAAAAATAACTTTATCACTTTATTTCATATTTGTTTAACTCCCCTCCCTTTTAAGTATTAATCATTTGGAAGTTGTTTTTTTTATTGTTTACATTTACATTTTCAGTAGAATTATCTGGTTTGACTTCTTTTTTTCTTTTCGTTTTTTTAAAAAAAAGAAAAACAAAAAAATGTTTTAAACAAAATTAGAGTAGTATAACTTCATTTAAACAAATAAATCAATAAATCGACACCCCCATCATTGAACAAAAAATCAATAAATTGATTATTAGATGACATAAACGAACAACCTCAATATTGAACAAAAATCAATAAATTGATTACTAGATGACATAAACAAATCGATAAACAAACAACCTCAATATTGAATAAAAATCAATAAATTGATTACTAGATGACATAAACAAATCGATAAACAAACAACCTCAATATTGAACAAAAATCAATAAATTGATTACTAGATGACATAAACAAATCGATAAACAAACAACCTCAATATTGAACAAAAATCAATAAATTGATTACCAGATGATATAAACAAAATTATTGATATATACATAATTTATTATTTATATTATGTAAACTAATATTTATCAATAATGTAAACAATTTCATGGTCATCTTTTTTTCATATTCATAAGTTTTTTTGTCATATCTATGTAATTAATAGTTTCTAATGGGATATAAGAAGATAAGTTAGTTGCTAACATGGTAAAGAGAAAGGGAGGGAGAGACAAATTAATCAAGGTGTTCATTGTTCAATATGTGTTCACAATTGATTAATCACTAGGTGATGATCAATATATGTGTGTATTAGTCAATTCATTTCTTTTTTTAAAGAATAATCTATATCTAATTATTTATTGATTTATTTAATATTGATCATTCATTGTATGATTGACATTTTATGTTGTATCAGTGATAATGATAATTCTATGCGTATAAATAATAATAATAATAATATCATCCTTTTTGTTTCTGCTTGTAATTTCCGACTCAGTGTGTTCTTTGACCTTCCTTCTGACCGTTTCCTTTTAGGATTCCAAGTTAGGGGTTGCCTAATGTTGCAGTTTGATGATTTCTATAATGTATTTTTTATCCACCTCTGACGTCTTTTCTTAATTACTTCTTCAGATGGAAGATGATTTGTCCTTTACCACAGTAGGCTGTTGCTGATGATATTCGGCCAACAGACACTGAGTATCTTGTATAGACGACTATTCATAAATATTTGTACATTTTTGATTATGGTTGTGGTAGTTCTCCAAGTTTCAGATCTATACCTTAGAACTGTCTTGATATTCATATTAAAGATCCTGACTTTGATATTAGTTGATAGTTGTTTGAGTTCCATATGTTCTTCAAGTGTAGGAATTCTGTCCTTGCCTTGCCAATCCACCCTTTTACATCTGTATGAGATCCTCCTTGTTAATCAATGATGCTGATCAGATATGTGAATGTTTCTATTTCTTCAAGAGTTTCTCTATCAAGTGTGATGGAGAAACTCTACACGACAGTAAATGAATATATTTAAATAAAAGATTGTCTATTAATATTAGGTTGAAATAGATATATATTTTTATATTTCATCAACTTAGTAGTAGGTTCTTTATGTGTTAAAGATATTTGTCAGCTGTAGATCTGTATATTTGTCTTCGACTAGCACTAACAGTTAATAACATCAACAGTTTATCCATGATTGAATTGGTTGAAACAAGGTTTAAAGCTTCAATCAACAGGTTAAAAGTAGAACGTTTAAGCCAGTGTTCTATATAGGTTCTTGATAAATATTGCTTTTAAGTTATTGTTCAATAAAACTGATTTGAGTATGAAGTTCATTAGTGAAGCATTAAAAGGATAAATAATTTCTTAAAGATTCCAGTCAGTGTTTCACAGTACGACAGATAGTGATGTAATCATTTGAATATCGTTCAATGGACACTAAACACCAGCTTTAGTTGTTGAAGTTAGACAGATCAGATTAGGAAACGACATAAATATAATTTACAAACAATTAAAGTAGTGTGGTCTACTTATATCCATATAAGTAGTATATTGGTGATAGTCAGGCATAGAATGTGTTTTGACAGAAGATCGATAAGGAAAGAACAGGAATGAAGCACAATTGGTAGGAAAATGCGTGAACAATGAAATAGGAGAAGGTGGATTGATATTTGCAGAAGGAACAGCGAAGATGGAGACAATTTGTTGTTATTTTGCAAATTAACTGTTCACTACTGTATGGTTATAAGAAGTTAGTGAGATAGTCTGTAATGTTGAGCTGAATACACTCTATTGTCCCCACTAGTTTTCTGTTCACTAAAGTAGTCGCATTCATGAAAAACTTAAAAATCTTTACAGTATCATTATAGATTTGAATGATTCACTCAAGATTTATGGTACAAATTACCGACAATCATGAGAACTAAGTTCAGAGTATCCCGTTGATAATCTCTAACCACATGACGAAGTGTTTTTTTTGTTTAGAACATAAAACTGTGTGAGATAGCTTAAATATACCACACAATTTCAAATTGAACAAGAGTATAATCGGAAATATTAATCTAAACATAATTCAGTCAGCATTGTCAGCAAAGATGGATAATGGAATCCAGGACGCGCGTTTCGTCCTATTTTTAGTACGATACTCTTCCAGAATTAGGCAGCCATGATCTCACCAAGAACTTGGATCACTCTACGAGTGCCTAACCTTTGAAAAAATGAATCGGTATCCACTAGTTTAAACTCTTCATTGCAATCAATTTGCGATATAGCTGGAGCTATTCTTAAATGCTACTACTAATGGATAACTACCTCAAACTCGACATGATCGAATTCCACTTGTTAAGGCTTTTAATTAACTCCGTCTGTATCTCTTCTAGGGTTACTTCCAGTCCCAAGTTCGGGTAAAAAAGGGAGGTTTGGGAGTGGGGTCAGTATTTCCATCTCCTAGAAAACAACAATCCAAATTAGTAAAAAGCATCCTTCAAGAAAAGGAAGTAAATCACAATGAATGTTATCCAGTGTTATGCACCAACTAATGATAACAATGACGATGATAAAGATCAGTTTTGCGACAAGCTTCAATCAATCATAACGAAGTGCACAGGAAAGCACCAGACCATCCTGACAGGAGATCTAAACGCCAAAGTTGGAATGGACAACACCCGATATCATGGGACGACATGAACTGACTGGAAGAAAGGAACGAGTGTGGTGATAAATTTGAAAATCTATGTGCACTCAACAAAATGGTTATAAACGGCATCATATTACGCCACAAATACATAAACAAAAAATTCAGAAAGTCAATGTGAGATGTGAGAAAAAAGAAAGGAGCTGACGTAACATCAGATTACCACTCGTTGGTTGTCGTGATGAAACGGAAGTTAGAGGAGCATTGAGCAATTTGTGAAACAGCATTACAAGGGTTTAATACAACCTTCCTCAACGAATTCATGATAGATCTCAGCAACAGACCCTGAGCCTTACAAGATCTATTCAAAGAAGAAACTATTATGCAGAACAACTGAAAATGGATCAAACAAGCAATAACTTCAACGTGTCAGGATGTTCTGAGATGCAGAAAGCATCACCATAAGGAATGGATCTCTACCAAAACACTAAGCAGGATTCAAGAAAATAAAAACAAGAAGACAGGAATTAACAACAGCCGAACGGGAGCACAGAAAGCCAAGGAACTGGTTGAATCAACAGTAGTAGAAAAGCAAGTGAAGAGAAGCATAAGCCTGGCAAACACCAATACGTGGAACACCCAGCAATGACGAAGGGAAAAGATGAAAGAGAAGGAAATATGAAACAACTATATGTTACAGCGAAGAAACTGTTAGGGAAATGTAGTAAACCAGAAAGACCAGCCAATGACAAAGAAAGCAAGTCAATCACTGAGATTCAAGAACAGAGAAACAGGTGTGGTGGAGAACTCTTGAACAGACGAGCACCACTGAATCCACCGGAAATCGAAGTACAACACAAACCTTCCTATAGATGTCACTCCACCAACGATCGAAGAAATCAAGATGGTCACCGGACAAATCAAGAGTGGGAAAACAGCAGGAACTGACAACATACCAGCTGAAGCACTGAGGTCAGACACTGAAGCAACTGCAAATATGTTTCACACTTTATTCAAGAAGAATTTGGAGGAAGAACAAGTGCCGATGAACTGGAAAGGACACCTTATCAAGATACCAAAGAAAGGAGATCTGATCAAATGTGAAAAGTACGAAGGCATCACATCATTATCAGCACGAGGAAACGTTTCCAACAGGGCGTTGCTGAACCGGATGAAAGAATCAGTAGACGCTCAACTTAGAGATCGATAGGCTGGATTCCATAAGGATCGGTCGTGTACAGACCTAATCGTGACACCACGGATCATTGTTGGACAATCAGTCACTATACACCAACTTCCTTGACAATGAGAAACCGATTGACAATTTGGATAGAAATTTATGTAACTTTCTTTGACACTATGGTTTACCTGGGAAGACATTAAACGTCATACGGAATTCATACAACGGAACACACTGCAAAGTCGAGTATGGAGGACAGCTGACAGATCGATTCCAAGTGAGGACCAGAGTTAGACAAGGTCGCTTACTCTCCTCCTTTATCTTTATTCTGGTGGTCGACTGGATTATGAAGACGGGAAACACGGAATAAAATGGACAGCATGCATGCAACTAGATGATTTGAACTTCTCAAATGACCTAGCACTTCTATCTCATACACAACAACAAATGGAGATGAAGACAACTACTATAGCAGCAGCCTCTGCATCAGTAGATATCAACATACATAAGGGGGAAACCAAGATCATCAAATACAACAAGCACAACGCCAACCCAATCACACTTGAAGGAGAACTATCGGAAGATGTGTAAACTTTCACGTACCTGGGTAGCATCGACGATGAACAAGGAAATTCCGATGCAGACGTAAATGCAAGGATTGATGATAAGTCCTGCTAGTTGAACGCCATACTCGGATCCTAAGCTAGTCTCGTAAACCTACACAGCGACTTGAACACGAGAGAAAAGGCGCAAAATGTACGAGGAGCACTTTTCTCTAAAGGTTCAATTATGTACAGAAAATATAGGGTTTTTATAGTATTTTAGAAGTCCTTGGGTTTTCCTGAAAATTCTAGAATGCAGTGTAGTAATCAGCCAAATCAGAACCTCTACATGTGACTTATTATTTTGCGATATTTCTAGCAAAGCCTCTAATCAAACGCTGATTGGACAAAATGCTTCTTAATGTTTCCTGAGCCTTTCTTGTCTATTGTGAGAAATTTTCTGGATCACCCCACAATTGGGAAAGTGAGGACAGCATTCCTACATTTGAAGAACATGTGGAACTCAGAACAACTGTAAACCAATATCAAAGTGAGAAACTTCAATACGAACGTTAATACAGTTTTACTGTACGGAGCTGAAACTTGGAGAACTACCGCGATCATCATCAAAAATGTACAATTGTTTATAAACAATTGTCTACACAAGATACTGAAGACTAAACAACACAGTGCGTCGGGAATTAGAAGCATACATGTAAAGGATGAGTGGCAACTGGAAAGGATTGTCCAGGACAGAGTTCAATGTAAAATCGTGGTGGGCGGTCTATGCTCCTACGAGGGGTAGGAGGAGTAAGTGAGTATGGCTTTTCACTAGAAATTAGAGAATTACCACTCAAAATCAGTCACCAATAAGCACATGATTATGTTACACAACAGAGGGTTTATGGAGATACTTGAATTTTCATAGTTTTTATATTAACAACCATTGTAAACCAATAAACACTAGACTGGTCTTTCGAAGTAGTATGGGCTTTTAATGGTTGCTTAACAAAGACCAGTTCTGTCATGCTTACTGTGAAAATTCAGAAATCTCTACAAACCCCCAGTAACTTTTCTGTCTGCGAAAAGCAAATGATTTTAATTTTCATGCCCAAACAAAATTTTAGTTTACCGTAAAGATAATTCACGCCGTTTCACATTGATGGAGATCTTATAATTTATGGAAAAACCAATCAGATATAAGACAACAGGTCTTGTCTTTTGGTGCAAAATTTATTCATCCATTTGATCTGTTGCGTCTCGCCGGTTGTAAACGCTATATTCGCTTCCCTAAGCTAGTTCCGTACCCCCGAGCTAGAACTATACACCGACTTGAAGACCAGAGAAAAGACACAAAGTGTGAGGGAAGCACTTTACTACAGGGTTCCTTTATGTACAGAAAATATAGGGATTTTATAGTAATTTAAGAGTCCTTCAGTTTTACCAAAAGTTCTAGAATACTGCTAAACATAGTAGCAGTGTGTTAATCAGCCAATCAGGATCTCCACATGTGACTTTTCGATTTTTGTTATTTTAGTAACATAACTTCTGGTCAATCGCTGATTGGTTGAAATGCTCCTTGATGACCCATGAGCTTGTCATATCGCTTGCGAGAAAATTGCAGGGTCATCCTAACATGATCAAAAAGAGTTTTGGCATTATAGATGACTTCAGTCTGTGATGAAAAGCCTAAATCTAATTCCTTACCTTAACCATCAACTGTAAATCCTCATACTGCTTTATAAACCTCATAGTTAGTAGGCGGAAACTCTTAAAGTCACTTTAGCATCGCTGCTCAAAGGTTGATCATAAATTATAATCCCATCTATTGATCCTACATCACACTACATTAACAAATTTAGAAGATGGCTGAAAGAATAGAAATATAATTAATGATTGTACAGTTTCGTTTTTTAGAATTCTTAACAAAATAAAAACTTGAAATGAAAATCAGCACAAAAATTAACAAATGAGAAATTATATTATATGGGGATCTTTCAACTGGTGATAAGTTATAGTTGAATAATTTGCCCCCCCCTTTTTTTTAAGAACGGAAGGAAACAATATAAGAATGCATTAAAGTAAACGCTTGATTAAAAAAAAAACTACAAAAAAAACTCCCAAGACATTGTTGTTAAGACACATTTTAAAGTATAACTCATATCGTGAGTCTACAATCATTACAGAAAATGATAAGGGTATGAAAAATTCATCATCATTGAAAGACTATATATCAATTTATACATACATATACATATATATATATATAGCTGAATAGATTCACTTAATTGTTTTCACCTAATAGACTATAGTCTCTTTGAGGAAATAAGATTGGAGCTTGTTGATTTAAGTAAACTGCTAAATCAGACCAACCAATTTGTTTTAGAAGCTAAATACAAAAAACAGAGAAAAAAAGGGGGGGTGAAATTATAACAATAAGAACAAAAGAAAAAAAACAAATCTATATTGGAATGTTTTTTCAAAGGATTATCATTATTTTTAGAAGGGGGTTTTGTGGAGATTTTAGTAATTTTATATAGTTGAAATCATGATTTAATTGAAGCTGCACTACCATGGAAAACCTGGAAGCACTGAACAGCCGTTTCGTCCTTTTGTGGGACACCTCATCAGTAAGTTCGAATCTCGCGTGGTGGGATCGTGGATGCGCACTACTGAAGAGTCCCACAATAGAACGAAACAGCCGTCCAATGCTTCCAGGTTTTCCATGGTGGTTCAGCTTCAATTAACTCATGATTTCAACTATATAAAATTATCATTATTTGTTTGAACACATAAATATTGGTACAAGGAGGTATCAAATATACATGTGCCATATTTAATCATTTGATGTGAATGAGGAATGAAACATTGTCCGGATGCTCAAACGGAAGCATATGGTTTACTTAGGAGGCCACTCCTAGAGCCTTTGACCTAAAGATCTAATCCATAAGGCAGTGAAGCATCGTGAGGAGATGTATTCCCAATAGGTTCATCTTATCTCAACATAGTGCACGCATTGTCGAGCCACCTAGACTAGTGGTCACATTGCAACTTGATCGATAGCATTCGATCAGCACTAAGACGGACTTGACACGCATGACATTAATCACCACCCAGTGATCAATCAATTGTGAGGTTCATATGCTATTTGTTCTCTCAGGATCCTGGAGCACAAAGGCTCCATCGGTTTGGAATTAGGGTTTCCCGATCCTCCATATCCACCAACCCGGTTAAAGCTCCGAAAATCCGCTTTTCGTCCTCACACTTTCTTAAACAACACTCACACTGTGAGAAGTCATTTGGGGGGTACGAAGTACATGGTCTGACTAATAAGTGAATGAACTGATGATATAATTTTAATCACTAACGCTTCAGTTAAATGAATCTTATATTATTCAATGCATTCCATATTTGTAGCTATGTGCTTTTTTAATTCGCGTTTTAATTGTTCCAAATATAGTAATGAAGTGAAACAGAACTCAGATGCGGAAATCAAATTTACGGGTTAATGTAAAATTAGACAGTGCTGTCGTAAAATATGAAAACCATACATCAAATATATTATTTGCATATCTTCCTTCAGTTGCCCTGTATGTACTTCATGATTCTTTCAATCCTGTTGTTATTTTCAATTTCCCTTCCTGTTCTCTTCAATCCGATCTTCTGCTGCCAAACATTCTACTCCCGATTGGTGTTACATACTACTTATATCTGCCAGCACTAGCAGCATACACCACAATAATAGTAGTTCTTCTTCAGTTATCTAGTCTTTTTATATTGACTGATTTACTTCTTACACTCTGATCAAAGTTCAATGTTAGATGCATACAATCATGAAATAGCCCTTATCGCAAAGCAGAAGACTCTGAACACATTTCATGTTTTCATCTACACAATAGGCTAACTGTCATTTGTATCTGCCACAGTTAATGTAACTAATAGATAGGCCGTGTACGTCATTCAAATGAATTCTTGTTTGCTTAGGTTGAGTGACTTAGTGTGAGATTATATCTGAGTACGAAAACTATTTGTGAATTAAGAAGTTACTAAGACAACAATAAAGCGATAATAAATTAATCATCCCAACCTGAGTGTTCGTTTACTACGCATGCATCTGCCCAGTGATTGACCATTTTAAGTCATGTTAGTTAAATCTTTTACTTTTTGATTCTATATTCCAAACAACAGTCTATAATCGCATACACAGTTCATACAAACAATTTAATGACGACGTATATGGATGGTCATGTGTTGATTTGATCAGTCATAAGGTTTAGGAGAGTTCATATTGAACAAATATCCTAATCCTAATTCATCTTATAAACTTTCAGATAAACATTTCTAGTATCTACTTAATATAACAATAGTCATTAACATACCCATGTTAACCAAGGAAGAGTTGATTTAGCTATCTCTAAAGAATTTTCTAAAGTAGCATGACATTGACGTAGAACTCCAAATGAAGATGTAGGTGAAGATGGAAATGAACAGTTAATAATACCTTTTAATGCTCCAACAGGAGGTTCGTCAATCTAAATAAAAAAATGAAGAAAAACAAATTGCAGTCTTAAGGTAATTGAAACAATGTGAAAAATTCAAGAAAAATGATGAATTAATGCTTTAGAGCATTTAACTTTTAATTAATGAAAGTTGAAATTTTAAAATCCAATTTGTTTATTTTGTTTTAGTCAGTAAGATAGTATGCTACTAGCCGGATACCAAAGATCCACTTAAGGAAGATTGGAAAATCCTGATTCCAAACAAATGGTGCACATGAGCTCCAGGATCCTAGGAAAAGAAATGGCGGATAAACCATGGAGTTCTAACGAGAAGACGTGATCATCAGTATTGTGGAACAGTTATCTACCGCAGATAATGACAGACTGTTGCGCAATATCGTTAACTAACCAAAGTTAGATATATAAGCCATCGGATATGAAATCAATAGTCTAGAAGTTAGGCATTCGTACATGAAACTAAAAGTCTTTGGTACATTTGAGGAGTCTCTTACCGGACAAAAATTCAATCTCGTGTTTCCTGGTTTTCCACAATGGTCTACCTAACATTAGTTCATGATTTAAAGCATGGAAATTAACTCCGTCTGTAGCTCCTCCGTGGGCTACTTCCGGTTCCCAAGCCCGGGTAAACGGAGGAGGGTTGAGCATGGGGTTAGCGACACCATCCCGTAGAAAACCAACTCGCTAGAAAAACGGTAACCAAAGCATGAAAACATTAATAATAATATTATTATTAATCTTACTTGATATAATAAACGAATAAAATAATAAGTAGCTTCAGCATATTGTTGTTTAATGATCATATATAAAATAAAAAATGTAATTAATCGTCCACCAACTGAACCATAATTCATAGCGGATAAATTTTCATCACTTTTATTCTGTTTAAAATCAGTTGATAAAAGAAGCCAACCAGGTAATGCATGATTACCTAATTGAATATTGAATCCAATAGAATCAGTGCCTAAAGCTGTTTGACTAGTTAATTTAATTAAACGTTCATAAATCTTGTCAAGATATTGAACTAATTCAAAACAAGATAATGATGATGATGATTGTTGGCTAAGTTCGTGACTTGAAGATGTCATCAGTTTACATTTGGATTCCATAAAGTTATTTAATGACCATTTATATTGATTTGAATAAGTCAATTGATTATGGATATAATTTAAACAAATTAAACGTTCAGCAATAAGACGACCATAACGAGTTAGTACATCGATAAGACGTAATTTAAATTCATTTAAATTCATTCCGAAGGGTTTTGGATTATCTTTGCTGTAAAGGAAAGTAAACGAAAACAACAACATTTTGATGATGGAAAAATGTAGAGAAGTCAGTTGAGATGGTATTGTAAACATGAAAGAAAAACGAGGAAGGGATCTTGATGAATTAATTTCACAAGCTTAAAAATTGATTTGGTAACTAAAATACATCATCATTCTTGTTTTGTTTCAACCTGGTAAAATTGTAGGTGCTGATACTATGTCGAGCCAAAATAGGTTATTCTAACGTATGGACAGATCATCCTATTCATTCATCGTAAGTCACACTTTTATATATTTATTTATTTAAACGCATAAATATTGGTACAAGGAAGCACCAGATATATATGTGCCGCACAAATCAAATGACATTTGTGTGAGGGCTGTGATACTGTTCAGGTGCCCAAACTGAAGAAGGTGGTTTTCTTAGGTGGTCACACTCGGAGCCTTTGACCTAAAGGTCTGATCCATAAAGCAGTGGGGCATCGTGAAGAGATGCAGTCCTATGGTAGCCAGTGACCAATGATTGCCATTTGTTCCCTCAGGATATTGGAGCTAGGCCATGTGCATCATTGGTTTGGAGTGAGGGTTTGCCAACTTCTCAAGGTGGACTCGCCGTGTCCACCAACCCGGTTAAAGCGCCGGACATTCGCTTTTCATCCTCTCAATTTCGTAAAGAACGGTAATGCCACGAGAAGGCAGTGAGTAGGACTTCCCTGTCAGAGGCTATATACGCGTGGCCATGTGAGAGCATTTCGAGAGGGAGAGGTGACTCTTCCCACTCTCGGCCGTACCAGGACATTCGGGGGCCACATATTTACCCTGTCACTTATTCGCTTATCAACTTTGACTGTTTTAATGTAAGCGTATATGTGTACATTCCTTATCTTACCACATGTCTGAGTTATTTTTGTCTGACTATAAATATCAATTCACACTTGGTTAAATTCAGTTGGCTCACTCGCCTTTTTCATTGGGCGTCATTTTGTTTTGCCTTGCATTTCAATCAACGATTGTAATAAATATACGAATCATATATTCAAAAGTCCGTGCTTGTATTTGGCTTATTTAATTCTGTTATTCACTGACGCGATTTAAGTAGATAATTATATACGAGAATTGGTGACAGGTATATAACGATAACGATAATCATACGATCGAATGGGAGTCATATATTCCTAGGCCACTAAAATGTCTCGCTATTGAGGTCTCAACGTGATGCTACAAAATATTTGTTATAGAATAAATGGATTAAGGCATTGTTCTGTTTGGACACATAATTATAACGATATCAGACCAGTTGAATAAACTAGTGGTTATCTGTACTCAGTAGCTCAGTGGATAACATGGTTAGAGATTTGGAGAGGAAAGTACTGAACTCAAGTCTCCGTGTGAACAGCTAGATGTGATCAGCAAGCCTTGAACGTATGTATCATATACTCCGCTGTTTGCCACAATCTAACTTTACCAGAACGTGTGACGAAATAGTTATGTAAAGACATTTCGCTTAGGATGTCTATAACCCCACTGAGATTGATCACATGCAGTTTTCAATATTAGTAATGGAATAATTATTGACTAAAATAGTTTGGTCATATTTGGATTAACCTTAGTACAGTCTCGTCATTCGTTACAAAAGATTATCGCTAGGATCCTCAAAGATGAGTGCAGAAACACTTGAGCAATCTATCGGTTTACGAATGAGAAGTGCTTTCTTTTCAACAAATTCCCGTCTCATTGGCAATACATATGAAAAAAAGGTTCTCAATTCTAAAATGTTTTGCTTACTTTTCAGACTTGGCTACTCCTCGATTAGATTGACTTACAACACACCCATCAGAAGGTTCAGGTTTAAGAAGATTACACAAAGAATCAGATTTGCACAGTTCTAATCGTGATGATAAAGGAGAGGATAGTGTACATTCACCATTCAATGATAGATTACTACATGAACTTGCAAAAACACATGTACCATCAGTAGTGGTTGAAGTGTTGATCTTAGGATTCTTCTTCATAGGTGTCACTGAGTTACTATTATTATTATTATTATTATTATTATTATTATTATTATTATTATTATTATTATTATTATTACTAGACGGTAAAGAAGCATTCAATAGATGATAAAACAAATTATTCTCTTTCGTAGGCACTGCCGAATAATTGATTGAAACGTTTGAACTATGTAATTGCGTTGTCTTTTGTATAGTTGGCATTGATGAGAATTCAAAAAATTTGTTCAACAGGTTTAATGTTTCATCGGAATTTATTAATCGACCATTCATTAAACAATCTATATCATACCATAGTTTGAAACGTTCTTTTAAAAGCATGCATAGATTAGTATACCAATGGTTGTTGTTATTGTTATTATGAATATTAATAAAGTCATCGTCGTCAAAGGTACTTATGAATGGTTTATCCAATGAACATAAATCTACATGAATTTTACAAAGAATAGTACTGAATTCATCTGAATTATAGCTATTCACCTTGAATGATGATGATGATGTTTGATTTTTGCTATCATTTGGTAGATTATGTTCCGTGGTGGATTTCGGTGGTGTTATCACTACTACTGATGCTGTTGCCCCTAATGTTTGTTGACCACATATCGTTTCGCTATTTGAATGATTGACATTAAAGTCAATATTGTTGGGTATTGTCGAGATTTTAGCATGTTTTTCAATGATATTCAATGAATCTAGTGTATTATGATCATTCGATTGTGAATCTGATTCGTTTGGTGATGATTTCGTGTAGTTATTAACCTCTACCTAAATAAATAAAACAAACATTTTTTGAATTTACTTATGAGACAAAAGCAACATAAAATTGAAATTGTATTTAGTTGCTTTGAAGATGTTACTGGTGTATTTTATATAGAATATCAAATTACACAGATACAGTCTGTTGATAAATGGCAACTAGTATCAAATAAGAAATGAAAAATACTTAATGTCCGTTGGTCGGATACCATCAGCAATAGCCTACTGTAGGAAAGAACAAACTAGCTTCCAGCTGAAGACAAAATTAGGAAAAGACTATGGAATTGGATAGGAGATACATTACGGAAATCATCAAATCATCAAACAAGCACTAACTTTGAATCTTGAAGGGAAAAGAAAAAGAGAAAAGCTAAAGAACACATTGCGTCGGGAATAGGAATCAAGCATCAAAAGAATGTATAGCAACTGGTAACAACTGGAAAGCATTGTCCAGGACAGAGTTAGTTGAGGAATTCTGGTGGGCGACTTATGCTCCTCCATGAAGGTAAAAGACATAAGTAAGTAAGTAGGTGTTATATCCCCTGGTGAATTATGAATGGTAAATCTGAGGTCTATTTATGGACAAATGTAATATGCCTATTTCCTATTGTTAGTTGTTAAATAACTGACCTAATCGTATTCGTGTTCCTCTAATCATAACCTTTATTTTGACCTTTGAACTATTATTATTGACTACTTTCCCCCTATCCACATCCACATTGGCCAATTATTGTACAAGTGTTATTTTTCTATTTTTTGGTATATGTGATCTGTTTGGTTAGTATATAAACCCAGTATGCTAGTTAATAATGATTCATATTGCCGAGGCTGTTATTTGTGTTCTGTACTTAATGGGCTGGGCTAGGCAGATATGAAGGACCGATAAGCACTCAAGAATGCTCGTACGTATTTTCTGTATCATTGGACGTTTATATATTAAGTGGGCACACGCAAGCATACGATACAACATATTGGCAATTCATACGATATAACAATATGTTAATCCAATAACTTGTGTATGTGGGACATTTTCTTCTTCATGATCGGAGCATAACAGAAATTCACCTAAAAATAGTCGTTGTCTAACGTGCTTCCAATGTGTTTCACTGATTCCAAGCACCTCTAGGTTGTATTTTCTTATTTCTGCAGCAATTTGGAAGACTCTACCGGTCTCCCACATTGTCCGGACATTGCATGTACCTATGAAAATTGTCGCTCTGGTTGTTAGAAGGTGCATCGGTCTCGTGACTTCCGAAGAATTTCGGCTTTCATCATGAGACGTCGTAATTATTTCTTCTACTCCCAGGGCAGAGTTTAAATGGTTTTAATAACTTTTTTTCTGTTCCGCATTTTTTAGCAAGTTGGTTTTCTACGGGACGAGGTCGCTAAATCCATGCCCAACCGTCCTCCTTTACCCGGGCTTGGGACCGGCAGTAGCCCCCGGAGCAGCTATAGGCCTATGCTCCATTGGGAGTAACAGGTGTAAGTAAATAAGTAATTCAATAACTACATTATACATTTTTCAACAGTTGAAACATTGATTATTAATCGAAAGAGTACCTTCCTATTTCCTCTATCTTTGCATAATGATTGAAATGTTGTCATCTCATACAAGTCATTAACAGTAACTGAACGTAGAAGGTCGTACATTTGTGGATGGACACAATTCGCCACATCGTATCAGTGGCCGTGGTTTACACAATACGATTCAAGACGACAACTTATACCGATTAAAACACTTGATAGTAGAGAGAATCAGAATGAAAAATTAAAGATAATTTTCATGAGATCAACATGCTTACTATATTTGTATATCTGTATCAAATCACTTACAATTCTACCACGTTGTAACAAGCCTTAACTAAGTACAGTTTAATGTCGAGTATTTGGGAGTGATTAAGAGGGGAAACTCTGTTTGAACACAAAAGTGGATCGGTTTCACAGTGTAACGCAATGCAACTGAGCTAGTGTACCGACGACTTATCTCATGTAAAATTGAGCTGTTACATTGATTGATCACTGAATTACGACCAATGTCCTGTTCGCCTAGTTCTAAGTGCTGATTAAATTCTATGCATCAATTTGTAGGTCATCCGGATAATTACTTCCAACTATATAACATCATAATATAGTGCACATGATGTTGAATCACTTTAACCAGAGGTCATATGGTAATTTGATGAACACTATGACCTAGACAAGCATAAATAATGGTCACTACTCAATGATCAATCAATGTATTGACCGAACTCAATAATGATGAATTACGAGAAAGAATATAAATCGTATTTGATAAAACAAACAGGAAACTTGGCTAAAAAGTTCTGAAAATATGAGCAAAGTACGATCTGTACAATTATTTCTTATTTTATGGTGTAATGCAGTGAGGTATGTCTGTATAGCAAATACGTATGCTTGAAATATAAAAACGATCTTAGACTAGTGATCATTGGTCGTGTTTCTTTCTTTTAGCTTGGAACTAGTTAGAATTGGATCAACCGTCAAGTATAGAGTATCAGTCTTCTCGTTCTTGTTGCATATCGGTTGCTTAAGGTTGTCCAAGCATATTCGTCAGTGCTGAGACATAGCACTATTCAAAAATGTTCATTTCTCACATACAAATATTAATATTTTTGATATTTATAGGAGACGTCTAGTCACCGTAATACACCTTATATTATACAGAACTATATTGGTACTAAAATATCAAACAACGACAATGAACAAACAATTCTATGACTTTGAAATGGTCGGAATTACCTTTAGTTCAACGTCATTCACATCATTGTTTGGAATATTATCAGCGTACCATCCTGAAGAACGAATAAAACGCATATAAAATTAATAACATTTCTGTACAAAAGATACTGCTACATTTGAAGATTGCGGTATCACTTAAAACGGGCGAACGGAAGGAAAGTCACAACAACAGGACAGGCTAATCTAGTACGTAACGTCCAGGCCCAAGGAAAAAATATATATTCCATAAGCAGCAGGAACCACGAACGAACAAGTACACAACTTATGCGTATAAATGCATTACAAAGATGTCTTTGGAAAACGTCACAAAATAGCATTCTAGAAGAGAAAACGAACCAATGATGTTGAAGGTCCTTTCAGATCGGAAATACAAACTAAAGGTAAAAATGGGCGCTTCTGGAGCGAAAACGAAATATTCAAAAATTACAAAAAATGAGACGATTACCAATTGATTTCAGGGGATTTATGTTGGGGATGTCAAATCCCCAGAACTCACTTGGTAAATGGCTTAGTTTTGTAATTTTATTTTGAAAATTTGAATTTAGCTGTTTCCGCGCCAAACGCGCTCTTTTTACCTTCACGTCATATCTCCCACTTGTAAACTGTCTTAAACACTATTGGTCCATTGTTTCTTTGTGTGTGCTATTTACCAATGATGCTCAAGGACAAATTGTTGTTGTATAAATGCGCTTGACTTTTTCCCTTATTCGATTGCTTGTACTCGGCTGCTTACGGAATACATATATATTCCCCCACTTGCCTTGGACTTCTTCATCTAGTTAGCGGGGCCTGGGACAACAGATTAGAATAGCTTATCGTGTCATTGTGTCATTGGCTTTCGTTCGTTACCGCGGAATCGATTTAGTTTCAAGCATAACAATTTACCATACTCAACAGATAACTAAACATAATTTATACTCTTTATGAACTCTTTATAATCAAGCATGGAAAACATGAAAAAGTGACAATTAAACAAGTACATTATTTATAAAAAAAATTTCGAGTGGTGTTTAGTGTGTTCGGTAAGTCCAAGCTGTATTCAGTTGTGGAAAATCATTTTATTCAATTGTCAGAATACAGTTGTATCTAGTATTCATGGATATATTGTGTAGGGTCATTTTTGTGTCTTGAATATATTATTCATAAGCAACACAAAACCTTACAGAGCAAACGAATAACAATCAACGAGCAAGGATTGATAGATGAGACTGTTATCCATAAAAAAACATGGTGATGCTATGATGCTACGATGATGCTATAATATCTAAACACATCCGTGTTAAGTTTTGAAACCCTTTGGAAACAATTACTGAACAAGTCTACAACCAATTGTCTAACCAATGACATTCAAGATTCACAGTAACCTAATGATATAATGAGATGAATAGTATAAAAGTATTACGTTTGAGATCCGCATCCTACAAAGAATTATTATTGGCATTTTGATTGCATAACCGAGAGAAATTTAGACGCATACATAAAACAACATAAACTTCACTTTATCACATTACACAGAACCAAAACGATTATATCTGCATCAATAAAAAGTTCAGAAGGACGATGAAGACGTGAGAACCAAGAGAGGAGGTAACATAGACTCAGATCGTCATTTGCTGGTCGCCTAGATGAAATTGAAACTCAAGAACGACTGGACAACGGGGAGGAAGGCATCTCAAAAGTTAATTACGGCATTTCTTCGACTTATTGAAAAACACAATAAATTCGAGATAACACTCAGAAATAGGTTCCAGGCCTATCACCATCTACTCACTGAAGAAGAGACTGCCATGGAGAACAACTACAAAGAGATTAGGAGGCAATCAATAGGTTAAGTAAACGATAATACGACTAGTAACAAATTCGAACACAAAAAATGAACAATATTTGAACGAACATTTGCTTTCAATAACTTCATCATCAAGCTCTACAGTTATATGTCCATAATTATTATGATATTTTACAAAGGTCAAAATAAAACAATTTAATTTGACAATCAGAAGGGGGTTTCGTAGAAATTTCACAAATTTTATAAATTGAGATCATGAGTCGATTGAGCTTGAACACCATGGAAAACTTGGAAGCACTGGACGGCTGTTTCGTCCTATCGTTGGACTCCTCAGCAGTACCACAATAAAACGAAACGGCGTCCGGTGCTTCCTAGTTTTCAATGATGGTCTGGCTTCAATTAATTCATATTTTGACAATGTTATATATTAAAAATGGTGAACGTTTGCATCTCCTATTACGACATATAGACTTCAAAATTGTGTTATTTGTAAATTAGAAAGGTCAGAATTGATTTGCAATAAAGTGTCCAGTCACAATCAGTAGAATAGTAGGAGAATTTCATCTTGTATATTTAGGTAATCATGATAATAACAATCGTAATAATAGTAAGATTGTTGTGTGAATATAATACATAATAAAAGGGGGTTGTTATCAAGGTAATTACGATAAACAAATTGGGGATGATGGATGTGAAGACTGAGATAGAGGTGATAAAAAAGCGGGGGAGAGGTTTATAATATTCAGTTTAGGTATCCGGTGAACCAGTCGTAGGCCAAGGTAAACATAGGGGCTGGATACACTTGTTCTGGATACATTAATTTGGTTTTTTGGAGTTAATCCAGATGGCTTCGACTATGTAGAGTAATCGTAATCTAGCTCCTTGAGGTAGAGTTTTCGGAACTTGATAAAAAACAGAGAAAGCTTCCTCCATCTTCATATGATGTTCACTATCTACCAAGTGAGAAAGGATGGTGTTGTTAATGGATTTGGTGACTCCTTTTCCCAACCATGCTGGTACATCTTCACGAATATGTAAGGACGAAGCCCTTTGAGTATGGCCTATGTAACTAGCTCCACAGGAACAGTTGAATCGGTACATACATATAGAAGAGCCCATCTTCGGTAACTTATCCTTGATTAATTGTGTAAGTACTGGTTTGGTTGGGAAAGTGATGTGTAGCTTGGCAGCGTGAAACGTCCTTTCAACAGATCTTTTCAGTCGACGTGTTAGAATATCACGCGCTATGTCACCTTTAAAGTCCAGTCTCAGATACAAGATTTTTTTAATCACTGTGTCACAATTTCTTCCTTTTTTTATTAATATTTTCTGCTAGGTATTTTCTAACGAAATTATCTGGATAGCCATTATTTCGCAATGTGTTTTTTAGTATATCTATTTCACTATCGATACTGTCCTCAGAACATAATAGCTTGATTCTGTGGCTGAGACATTTAACCAAATTTATTTTATATTGAAGAGGAGTGAAGCTGTGGAAAATAGGTATACTAACCCGTCCATGTATTCTTTCTAAATATATATCGTTTTATGGAACCATCTCTCCTTCTAGAAAGTAGGACGTCAAGGAAAGTTATACTATTGTCTTTCTCTTCCTCGCTGGTGAATTTAATAGCTGGGTGGACGTTATTGAAAAAGTTCCACATCTCCTGTTTGTCAACATTTTCGTCGCATACGATTAGTGTGTCATCTATGTATCGACAGTAGTAGTTTAGCTTACTTAGGATGTCTTTTAACGGTCCATTTTCCAGTTTGGCCAGAAAAATGTCAACAAGGATCGGGCCTAGTGATGATCCCATTGCTACTCCACTTACTTGTCTGTAAAATTCATTATTAAACTTAAAGTAGATATTCATAGTACATTTCAACAGAAGTTCTTTCACTTTACTTACTGGAATCGGTATCTCTGTTTCCTTTTCAAGCACTTGTTCACGTATGTATTCGATAGTTTCAGTCAGGGAGACGTTAGGGAACAAGGATGCTATGTCTAGTGATAACATGGTTTTACCATTTATATTCATAATTTTTATTGAACCCACAAATTCAAATACGTCTTTAACACTGTTTTTAACCAGTTCTTGATGTAATGGTTCTAATAATTTCACTAACCATTTTACTGTTGAATGGTATGGTGAGTTTGACATGTCCAGAATTTGGCGTAAAGGAACCTCAGGTTTATGAACCTTAGATAGGCCATAGAGTCGAGGGGTATATGTTCCAGAAGGCTTGAGCTCGTTATAGGTATGCTCAGAGATGTATTGATATTGTTTTAAAAATTTCAATGCTGTAGTTAGTTGACATTCAGTCTTTTCATTGAGGTCTTTACATGAATCAAGCTTTCGGAATTTAGTTCGATCACTCAGTAGGGTATTCATTTTATTTAAGTAACCTGTTTTGTTTAGAATTATGGTGCAGGATCTTTTATCAGGTTTAATGATAAGAATGTGTTCATTCAATTTTGGTTTCCGGATAGTTTCGTGATGTTTATCAGTGAATATACCATTTGTGTAATACTTGTTACTTTTAAATTGAATAGAAATGAATATTGTACAGACATTCTACGCTATCGAAGATCTTGCGCAAAACTTAAAAGACTCAAGTATGACTTATATCCTAGAAGTACAAAGAACGATGGAAAACAAAAAGACTGATATACAGTAGAGCTTGATGATGAAGTTATTGAAAGCAAATGTTCGTTCAAATATTGTTCATTTTTTGTGTTCGAATTTGTTACTAGTCGTATTATCGTTTACTTAACCTATTGATTACCTCCTAATCTCTTTGTAGTTGTTCTCCATGGCAGTCTCTTCTTCAGTGAGTAGATGGTGATAGGCCTGGAACCTATTTCTGAGTGTTATCTCGAATTTATTGTGTTTTTCAATAAGTCGAAGAAATGCCGTAATTAACTTTTGAGATGCCTTCCTCCCCGTTGTCCAGTCGTTCTTGAGTTTCAATTTCATCTTGGCGACTAGGAGGTGACGGTGTGAGGCTATATTAGCTGCTCATTTAGGCTTTTCGAAAATATAATAATACAAGAGTGATAAATGTAGAGCCCAAGGATGAAGTTATTTAAAACAATTGTTTGGTCAAATATTGTTCATTTTTGAATATTTTATAGGGAACTTTAAACTACAAAAAAAATATCAAATCTTACCTTTACGTTCACCGATTAAATCTGTTTTCACATCATCTATCAAGTTGTTACACATATTCGATGATGAACCATGGTTAGTATTATTATTTTCATAAGGTTTATCCAATTGGTATGTTTTCTCTTTGTGATGATTTTGATGAGTTGATGTATGGGATGTGTCTACATTCTTAAAATCGTTATTATGATTATTATTAAGCGAATTTTCATTCTTCTTATATTGATGTTCAATTGATCTGGAGTTGAAGAGGAATAACTCACCGAAACATTGGATCCATTCCAGATCTTCATTACTTAAACCCATATAACTGATTAATAACTTTCTAGGTAGTTCTTTTATTTTCATATTGTTATGATCAGATGATAATACCGAGGATGAGGGGAGTACAGGTGATGAAGTAGCGGTATTAGTAGTAGTAGTCGTTGTTGTAATTAAAGTAGGTTTTGAAGACAGTATGTTTGAATTATCCATGATTAAACGAAATGGATAAGTCACCTGTAAAAAATAAGTGCAAGAATGTAAGAAAAAAAATAGGTTGTACCTCAGATGGTATCATTGATTTGGATATGAACCTTAAAAATCTTTACTAATTTCTATTGTAACCCATATAGGATAACATCTCAAGTCATTGAGTTCTATGATACTTCGAACCTTGCCGATAGAATCATGAAAAATCAACAGCACATGTTTTATTTCACATACTGTTCACCTCATCTGATTTCAAAATCCTAGAGTTGGGAAACAATGTACCAGTAATAAAAAAGTAGTGACTAAGCAACATGTTTGAAAAGTGTTTAAGCTACTGAAATCAGTGTTGTTGTATTTTTTCAAATATTTTATAAAATATTCTACGTACTAAAACATGTGAACAACTTATCAAATCGATTAAGAAAAGTTTTAGTTTTGGAAAAGTCAAGCGAACAATTTTAACTTGTTATAAAGGTAGGATACTTGTTATAATGCTGGAGTTTCTTATTATAACAGTCCTTTCACTTTTTACACGTATATGGGACGTTAATTTACCTTCGGCCAATATCCCAGTGTCTATTCTACAGGAGACTTCAACACAATTCAAGAACACGAGACTAGCCTGACTAGAATGTCAATATATTTCCACACTAGAATTCGACACAATCCAACAACAAAGAACAGTTAAAGTTGAAAGCGTGACTCAATTGAAGCTAGATCACCAGGGAAAACCTGGAAGCATTGGACGGCCGATTTGTCCTATCGTGGGACTCCTCAGTAGTGCGCATCCACAACCTCGCCTGGGTTCGAATATCGCGAAGCGAGGTCCTGGATGTGCACTACTGAGGAGTCCCACAATAGGACAAATCGGCCGTCCAATGCTTCCAGGTTTTCCCTGGTGGTCTAGCCTCAATTGTCTCATAATTTCAACTATGAAAATACTAATACTCCACAAAAGCCCCTTCTAATAAAGAACAGTTAGTCAATAATAATAATAATAATAATAATAATAATAATAATAATAATAATAATAATAATAATAATAATAATAATAATAAGGATAGGGGGATGAATAGCACATACAACACCTATCACACTATCTACATGTGTCTGACTCAGCAAAACAACCAATCATTATCATTCTCGCCCATACTTCATAAAGACTAGACAAAAAAAAATGAAAAAAAAGAGAAAAGTCTAATAAACTCACTAAATTATGTAGTAAATTAGAATCATAGAATCCAATTGCTCCAGAAAAATATGAACCTGGTACTGCATACGTTGGATAACTGGAATTTAGAACAATAAGAAATTAAACTATGAAAAGATAACATGAGAATTACAAGACCCTACAAAAGGGGCAACAGATACATATGCGCCACACAAATCTCATTTGATTTGTGTGAGGGCTATGATACTTCCCAGGTGTCCAAACAGAAGGAGGTGGTTTTCTTAAGTAGCCACACAGGGAGCCTTTGACCTAAAGATCTGATCGGCGGTGGAGCATCGTAAGGAGATGCAGTCCCATGGTAGCCGGTGATCAAACAATTGGTTCATACACCATTTGTTCCCTCAAGATCCTGGAGCCCATGTGCATCATTGGTTTGGAATCAGGGTTTTCCAACTCCTCAAGGTGAACTTTCCGTGTCCACCAGACCGGTTAAAGCGCCGGACATTCGCTTTTCGTCCTCTCAATTTCGTAAACAACACAGCCGTCAAGAGAAGACAGTGAATAGGACTTCACTGGCAGAGGCTATATACGCGTGGCCATGTGAGAGCATTTTGAGAGGAAGAGCTGACTCTCCCTACTCTCGGCTAAACCAGGGCATTTGGGGGCTTTTCAAGACCCTACGGAAGAATTCAACTTGAATTATATAGAAAAAAATATAATGAAACGATTGAAAGAGAAATGCAAAAAGAAATAAAAAATAATGGAAACAATATATTTAGGTTAGTGAAAGTGAAAGTAGGACAATAGTGAAATCTTTAAAAAATGTTTTCCCCTTCATGAAAATAAATAGAATGGATGAACTTTCTAATCGGTTGTAATCACGGAATGAGAATCAATGTATAGTGCATCTACCTAAATTTAAAATTAGTTCACGTACCAAGTAACTAGGTATGAGATACATATTAAATGTGAGAAGCAATGATAGTAAACAATATCCAAAATAGAAATACTTGGAATGAGGGTCGAACCTGAAACTTAATGATTGAAAGTCAAATGCTGTAACCCTCGCACTACATAAATGAGCACGGAAAAAGTTGATAAACCTTTGTGATCAGAATGAAAATGAATGAGTAAAAGAATTGTTGCAGCCACACACTATAAATCGTAGCGTAGAATAGTCAGTAAAAAGACCATAGTACCATACATATGCTGATAATTTCTAAGCATATTGAACGTAGTCATGATAACCGCAGGAGTACTGAAAAACAGAAAGCTTCTGCAATCTGGTTCAACAACGTACAATTAAATCCCCATACACAATAAAACCTACAATTTTTAAATAATCTCTAGAGCTAAACACAAACTAGTTGTTAAATCAGTAATCAACAACTCACATTTTTTCAGCCAGGACGGAAAATGTCTTTAAAGTACTGATTACTTTCCAATAATTTAATAATTTGAGTCAATTTTTTATATATGTAGCTTTGTCAATTTCAGTTACTTAAAGTTAGACAACCACTGAAAGCCTGGTAGCATTGGACAAAGGTTTCTTCCTAATACGTGGGATTCCTCAGCAGTGTGAATCCCCGACCCCATAACCAATGACCTAACCCAGGACCTTCTGTATGCGCGCGAACGCCTAGCCTGCAGACCAGGGAGTTGATGGCCAATATTATAAAATTCTACTTTCAGTCAATCAGCAATACTGTGTTTGCTATGTACAAGTAGATTTAGTCGGCTTTGAGATAAACCCTCCACATATCAAGGCTAATAATTTCTTACTTCAGCTAGTTTACCACGTGCAGACTCACACATCTGTTCAGGCCACACTCTAAGCATGAGGAACAGTAGTATTAGCCAATCGCTCAAACTGAAGAAGGTGGGGTGGGATTCAGACCTGAGATGTAATGGTTCAGACTTGAATACCTTAAACACCGAGCCACCGCTCTAGTGATACTAACTAGCCAACTGTTTGATTCAGAGGAGCAGGGTTGAAACCTAAGACCTGTCTTTCTAATTATGAAACCATTGGTCCCAAAGTGTTAAAAATATAACATTTATTGAACAACGGAAAAGGATGGTTATCCTCAAATGAACATCTACATCAAATGTGGTGATTCAACAAAGTGTCTGAAATAAATTAGTGGGTCTTAATTGTATAAACATATATCAACACTTACCGTTCATTTGTAAGACCTAGAAAAATACTAATTGTTTCGTATGCGTTCACTCGACTAGGAAGACATGGTAACAGCTTTACCAATTCAAAACGATTTGATTCAATATTATCTGTGTGTTGATCATTTGTAATTGCATTTGATGAATGATTATTTAATATACTACGATTGATCATCGAAGTTTGTTTGGCATCAGATGTTAAAGGATCCATAGCTGAACAGAATTTGGTACCGTTCAAATTAAGTGATGAAGGAAATGAGCTGAATTCAAATTGTACAACACTTTGTCCAGTTAAAGAAGAACCGCCTTTTTTACCACTAGCTAATTCCATTCCACCAGTTAAACGAAAACTTACTAATATTGGAGTGTTTTGTAATGATTGTAACGGTGACCAAGTGGAATTGATCGCGGCAGAATCAGCATTCTTGTATTCACTTAACACATACGACAGTTCAGTCCCTGGTGAACAAGGGACAGATAATGGTTTTATTGGTTCACGTTTTAAAGATGGACCACTTTCGTGGCAAATCTAACAAACACAAAAGAAACAGAAAGAGGTTTTGATGTGCAACTGATTGAAGGTCTTCGTCTTCTAATTTTAAAAGGAATACGGACTTATTTAACATTTCATGTTCAAGTTGTATTTTAATTACTATTGAGTGGCAGTCAGATTTAGCTATTGCGGGGTGTGTGATACAGAGCTCTTTTCTAGGTTACCATAAAGCTTGTGGGATACTTAAAAGCTTTTTTGACCGAGCTCATGTGGTTACTCGTATGATACTATGTAATCTGATTGATGGAGAGAACTTATACTATAATAATGCAGATGAACTGTTGAATCATGCTAAAAAGAGAGAGGCCTGTGTCATAACCTTAAAATAAATGAATGACACTGCTAATCTAAATTCCTTATGAACTTTAGGGCTGATAGAAGTACTCTTTCTTCTGTTGATCTGGCTTAAATTAGTAGAAACGGTTGACAAGTTGACGTAAAACCTACTTCTGGAGAACTTGTCCAAGATTCATAAATAAATGAGGTTATAAGATGACAACGCATATCAGTTGAAACAGTAAACGTACCTGTGCAATCACTTTATAGTCACCCTTTTGCAAATTAAAAGTAAATTTCGGACGTTGTTGACGATGCTGGAATAAAAAAAATTTAAACATGAATTTATGGATGGACACAACATTTTACTCTTAATGTCCCAAGTCATTTTTTTCAATCTAGTCACATATATTGTCCAGGGAAGAGAAACAGAGTGATGGTTAATAAAGTATAACACATATCTAGCTAAAGTATATGGCTCATCGGCCAACTTAGTGAATAGTACTGGGTTCGAGTCCCGGAGTGAACATCAACTCTGGGATGCAGGTACATTTAGCTGGCGAGTCCCAAACAGGACGAAACACACGTCCTGGATTCCAATGGTAGCCGACATCCGTCTTTGTTTATAATGCTTGTGACTTAAGGCATTATTGAGAAGATCCGTACAGGGTGAACATATGCCAATAAGAGACTGATCAATTGCAGTCCTAATCATCAATAGGAAGATTCAAACAAACAATACAAAATGAATCGAATTTAATATCACGTTTCACTGAACAAAATAAAAGAAGATACTTACTCCATCGTATTCACCAGCACCAATATATCGGCCACAATTATCATAAATATGAAATATATGAATTGAATAATCACTGGTATAAAGCATATCTTGTAACCAAGGCAAAGAAATGATGGTTGTAGCTGTTTTGAATGGCTAAAAAAACGAAACAATAAGGAAGTATGTTGAACCTATGTGGTAATTTTAAGAGTGAACTCATGTATACACAGTTGTAGAGACTTATCTCTGTTCTATATTAATGATTTTTTAGAAGACTGAATAAAAAATAACATTAGCAAGCATATGAAGTGAATGATAGTGGGTTTGAGACCTAAGGTGAACATCAACATTGAAACATGAAAAGTACATTTAGCTAAGAAGTTTCAAATAGAATGAAATGAGTGCCCTCGATGACATTGTTAACCATAATCTATTCTTCACATAAGACACTATGGTTCAGTATGAAGTGTAGTTTATCTATCTTAACACTGATTGGATATGGATAACAAGCTTAATCTGTGTCACACATCATTCCAGTAACCTAGCATTTTGACTTTCATTCCGAACTCCGACGATTCTCTTTCGTACAAGTTCTTACTTTTAAACCAGACAAAAGAATAGCAATTGACTATTTAGACAATGACATCTGTTGATATGTAAATTTCAACTTTTTATTAGGGGACAGAATATCTCTACCTTATGTTTGCAAACATAAGTAGTATGTAACACCTGTAGGAAGTGGAATGCCTGAGGGTAGAAGGTTAAGAAGATTGAAGTGAAGAGAAGAGAGAAGGAAACTGAAAGCAATCAAGATAACAACAGGAATAAAGGAACAATCAAACTTGTAAGAGATTATTCGGAGATATGCAAATGGTGTATTTCATGTATGATTTTCGCATTTAACTAAACCACTATGTAATTGTGCATTAAACAACAAATTGGTTATCCCCACCTGAGTATTCGTTCACTGCAGTATCAATCTATAGTTTTAGATGCCCCTAAATGCCCTGGTACGGCCGAGAGTGGGAAGAGTCCGCTCTCCCTCTCCAAATGCTTTCAAATGGCCACGCGTATATAGCCTCATATATAAATGTGTTAAACGAAACACATATTGAGTAAAACACATTATTCCAATTGACTAACTATGAATAACTAAATAATAGTATAAAAGCGAAACGTACACAACTAAACCGATACGTTAAACGTAGAGCATACGAACCACAATCGTTGGGAAGCAGTTCATTTATTCCATGACCTAAATAAAAAAATTTCGAATCATGAGGCCTGGAAAACAAATAAGGAATAAAAAACACACAAAAATTTCAGCAAAGAAAAATAGGGAAATTTCAAAGATTAAGACCACATTCTTAGGATGTTTTTGAATAGATGTAGGTAGCCTACGAAGGACACAAGCTAAGTTACATTACGATTAATGAAACAGCCACCATTTAAGTCATTGTTCACTTAAACACCGTCTATCTACCTATGAAACGACTAGTGCCTTCGCTTATATAGATAAATGTGGGTCAATTCGGGCAAGAATTCAATTTGAAGTCAAAATACAGAACAAAATCAGCATAAAGAAAGTCAGGAACTTGATATTCAACAATCGAAAAAGATCAAGTATATTAGCCAATGAGAAAAAAATACAAAAGATCGCAAAGCTACTGATCGGATCAAAGGAAGATCACCCAGTGATCAATTAATTGTGATTACATCTCAGTCCTACAGGAGGTCGGTAACGGCCCGAGTAGTTCAGTGGTAATGTCTATGACCGTAAAGCTGAGTGACGCGGGAACGAATCCGTCAGGGAACACCAGTTCTCTCAAGATTACAGGTACACCTTGCTGACGAGTGCCAAGTAGCACGAAACCCGGGTACAAGGTTTCCTGTTGACCACCTGCAACCACCATCTTAACAGTTACATATTTAATTTATATTAAGGAAATTTGCTTCTAAAGAAAGACAAAACAAAGTACAAGTAGACAGACAAAGATCTAGGAATCCGAATACAAAATTCATGAATATCTTAATAGGAGAATATAGTTGTTTAATCATAGTTTCACAAATATAACTGACAATAAGATTTAGTTTAAATCATATATGTAGCAGATCGCACAATAGTGTACAGAGAATGCACCAATTGACAGGAACTCTTCAAATCATTCATACATAAGGGATTAGTAAGGAGTGGCAATACAAATCAATGCGTGATAATTACACAACATAGAAAAAACAGAATAAAATTAGCAATGAGATTTAAGTAATTTTTGTACAATGAATGATGTAGTTCAAATTACAGTGAATGGTGAAACCTCAATGAATATAAAAGCACTTCTAAAGGCAATAAAAGTTTCACTAAGTCATGAAGGCTGTAAACATGGTGCAAATCTATGACGATGGGTGATATTCTATGTTGATGAAAATATCGAATGTTTGCAATCAGTTCTTATTTTGCCTAGATTGGCGATTCATTATTTAGATAACTCTTACTAAACTGACTTTTGGAAATTTTCCTATGAACACAATTCTGACAAAATATTTGAGATAGAGAACACTGTATGATGACAACATGAGATAACGAAGTATCAGAAGAGCTTCAGCTCCGGACACTCACTGATATTTGTAAAAGCGAGAAACAAGTAATGAATTTATCGCACATACGTATTGTTTTGAGAGGGGATAGGATTAATGTGCTCTAGATTTTATAAAACGGTGTTTTCATAACCTCATTAGAGTAATTTATTGAATTATTTATTATTATTTATTTGAACACATAAATATTGGTTCAAGGAAGCACCAGATATGTATGCGCCACACAAATCTCATATGATTTGTGTGAGGGCTGTGATACTGACCAGGTGCCCAAACTGAAACAGGTGGTTTTCTTAAGGGATAACACCTGGAGCCTTTGACCTAAAGGTCTAATCCACAAGGCAGTGAAGCATCGTGAGGAGATGCAGTCCCATGGTAGCCGGTGATCAATGATTGATTCATACGTTATTTGTTCCCTCAAGATACTGGAGCCCATCTGCATCATTGGTTTGGAATCAGGGTTTTCCAACTCCCCTAGGTGGACTTTCCGTGTCCAGCAACCCAGGAAAAGCTCCAGACATTCGCTTTTCGTCCTCTCAATTTCGTAAACAACACCGGTGCCACGAGGTAGCAGTGAGTAGGACTTCCTTGGCACTGACTATATATGGGTGGCCATGTGAGAGTATTTCGAGAGGGAGAGTGGACTCTTCCCACTCTCGGTCGTTCCAGGGCATTTGAGGGCTTATACAATAAAATGTGAGTAAATACACTCTACTTTAAATTAATCGAAAACTCTCTGAAAGAATTGTTTTAAATGTTCATTATTTCTTACTTGACAGGTAAACACCAGTGAGTTAACCATATATCCGGTTGTATTGATTCATTGATAAAATTAGAACGTAAACCGATACGACAATAACGATCACTTGTATTCTGAAAAATGAAACAGATTAAATACATAGAATGATAATAAAATTGACAGTTCGAAACTTTATGATTATCAAACTAGCAGAATAGTCAATTATAATCTAGATATGTTAATTATTGGATTTCAGGCTTAGTGGCCTAGCGTTTAAGAACTTGCTACGAAAATCTAGCGTTCTGAGTTCGATTTCAAGTGGGGATATGGATGTAGACTGCTAGAGAATGTAGTACTGAAACAAAGCAAATGTCCAGTGCTTCCTGGATTTCGATAGCTATCTAACTTAGTCTGGCTCATGAACTCAATAACAAACACTTCATGCTACAAGATCTGTTAGAGAATTCCTTGATATGATTTATCATTATTATTGTGTTGAGTACGAATAACTGACCAGTTGTATTTTGTCATATTGCGTATAAAGCTGTTTGCAAAGAGTAGCATTTGATTCTTTTTCAACACACATAACTGGTCATTTCATCAGTATCCGACGGGTGAGTTCTTGTTATTGTTATTCACTGTTCTATTAAGATTCAAACACCGACCAAATATTGCAAGAATGTCACATTTCTACTATTTACTAGATTAAATCCTCTGCCAAGAGTTTAATTTTAAGAATTACAATCAGAATGATAAGGGAGATATGCTATACAATTGAGGGTCATTTTATTCGTAATCATTCTATTAAAAGAGCAATTATTTACGTGCAGTTGTGACTGTGTATTTAAATGATTTTAACTTTTGGATAGGATGTGAAAAGATAAAGACCTAACAGTTAGGTCTTAATTAAATAGGAAATGAGCGACCGACGAGCTAATTCCATCTACGCGTCTATGAAATTTTACAATGTTTATTATGTGTTTATGTACTATAAATATGTTATTTTATAACACACATCTGGCTAATGCTCTTATCTTTGATTTCTGGTCAATCAAGAGCTTACATAAACGATTCGTTCTTGTGGTTAGCCATCATGTGGCCATATCATTTCATCATGTCCATTGATCAATTAACAATCTATTCATTGATGTTGACAATCGAAAACTCGCTTCGTCAATCATTCAAAAATCTCTTGCTTAATACGAAATTACACGCTTGTGTTTAGCATGGACTGTGTTGGTTATTGTGAAAATTAAAAGATTTGCCTAACCAAATTAACCGACGATAAGTCATTGATTGATGACAGACATCCCAGCTGCATTAAATATAAGTGATGATCATAATTTGTGAAGTTTATTTCACCTTAAACTCAACTTAGTAAATGCTTCGTATTTTTGTGAATAAACTCTTGTTTCGGTTTAATCTGCTTCCCAGCTGAACAGATAGATGATTGAGTCCAATGTATCACACATGATCAAGTACCGGGAATTAGTACTAGTAACCCGTAATAAAAGCAACTTACCAATACAATGTTTTTAAGACTTGGTTCAAGACCACGAAAATACAATTCACCGATTACAATAGCTGGCATTTCCAATCCCCAATGTTGTGCTATAGTTAATTCTAAACAATCTGTCTCCCATTTAATAGGAAATCCAAATTGTGATGCACAGTCGAAATCATCTGAACTCAATGCTGGTTTATATTTATCATTGCCTATAGAAAGAAACAAAGGAGTACGAGAGAGTGAGACAGAGGAAGTAAGTCAGTCAGTCAGCGACAACGTAGGACCAGGTACATATATGCATCGGTCCAAGTTGCCATACCTCGTCAGCACAACAAGATGAACACCAGATTCAAAGACGTAATTAATTTAGTGATGTTAGTATATAAAGAAAGGTTGTATATAAGGATATAGTATAGGAAGGAAAAAAAGTTATGAAGCAATTTTAATCTCAAGGTTTAAGGGAAGATAAAGAGTGGATACACCTACGCCATTGTGATCGATTCTGAGCCATGTAAGTAAGTAAGTGGATTTCGTAGATGCAATGAATTGGAAAACGTAATGAATCTTCATAATGAGATATAACCTTTTGAAGTTTTATGCATGAGGGTAACTATAGTAATGTTTAGCAATTAAATTGTATCTTCAGAGATTGATACATTTGATGTATTAACAAGCAACTAGGTAAATGAGTAAGCGACCATTTTTCTTCTATGGTTTGTAAAGGTTCAAATTATGTCAATACATGCTGGTCATGTGCTGGATACAGAAAAGAACGGCTATGGTTACTCATTATGTTTCATGATAAGTTTTGAGGGAGTTCGACTTCACTTTTTAACCATTGTGCAAGGTATATTGATTCAAAACACTAACCTCCGGGTTTCTACTTAAAAGGAGTTTGTATGTTTTGTCACTCTATGACCAAGAAGACTTAGTGAACGATACTTTCAGCTTTCAAATTCTTTTCTACATCTTTCATGTACTTTCTTATTAACAGCGAATTCTAAAATACACATTTAATCGCTGAGAGCTAGCAAACGTCGAGTGACCAATTCATCTTAGTTTGAGACTTATTAGACATAAGTACCTTCATATCGCACAAGTACGACACTTTTTAATCAATATGTCGAGGTTCTATAGTTCACATTTAAAAAAATAATCCATTCATAATAAGTCCTTTCGTCCTACAGCTTGGAGTGTTCAGTGTTGCCTACTTTTCAATGGCACTCCTGATGTAAGTTCAAAATAATGAATGTTCTCAAATTTAGATTAATCTCAACAGACCAACAGAAAAATGAAAGACAGAAATGTCATTTTGGTTAATATAACAGAAAAGGCTGCGGTGATTCAAAAAGTCTTCAGTGTTTACTAAGTTTGTACTAGCCAGCACTTCTCGTTATTTCTCCGTTCATCCAGTGAGTGATTCATATCAGAGTATAATTTTCATTAGAATTTTCATTTCCAAACGTCTGACGGTATCCGCAACTATCTGCCATGAAAATATCATTGTAACGCTATCAAATATGTTGGATGAAAAAGACAAATGTAGTACATCATACGTCATGAAATGAAATGTTGAATGAAAATTACGTTCTCATATGAAACATTCATCGATCGAACCAGTCAATCAACCATTATCGACGCAGAACTCAAGATATAAGTGAGTACCAATTAAATCAACGGGGAAAATGTCTGAAAGCGCTGGGAATGACATGTGTATTGAACATCGAGGATGCCTAGAATGAACTCAGCCATTTAAATACATATTTAATCAATTATTTTATATATATACATACGTTTTAAAGTTGATTTAGTTTGACCAAATTTATTTAATTCAACAAATGTCCATCGAATTTCTTGACTATCCGAATCCATACCAATACATGGTGAATTAATAGTAATTGTAAATTCACACGATTTATCCCCATCATCGTCTAACCGTGCTAAACGTAAAACTGGAATCAGGAAAGTGAGGGAAAAAGAAAAAAACACAGAAAGATTGGATTATTCATTAGATCAAAATACAAATTAGTTGATGAGATATTTCGTCTCAGTTACTTTCATATCATAACTCTGCACTAATATGTAAATATTTCCGAATTAAATGGTATATTAAGCAAAGATGGATAGTGGCTAGCAGTGGAATCCAGGACGTGCGTTTCGTCCTATTTGGGACTCGTCAGCTGGATGTACCTGCATCTCAGAGTTGTTGTTGTTCACTCTGGGATTCGAACCCAGTACCTTTCGCTTCAAACGCCATCGCGTTAACCACTCGGCCACGAGTCCGAAATAGGACGAAACGCGCGTCCTGGATTCCACTGCTAACCACCATCCATCTTTGCTTACCATGCTTGTAAATTTAGGCTATATCGAGGCAATACTCACACTATGCAAATATGTCAATTAGAGACTGACCAGTTGCAGTCCTAAAAACATCAATGGGAAGATCCAAACAAACAATACTAAGTAAGTGTTATATCAATACAAAATAATATAATACTATTCTTGAAGAAGAATAAAGACAATTCTCAATGAAGAAAATATTCGTTTTTACTCAAGTTCTACAATCCTATTTATAAATAATTTATTCTCGGAATGGGGATTTGTGGAGATTGTAGTAATTTTAACTGATGAATTCACGAGTCGATCTAAACTAGACCATCATTGAAAACCTGGAAGCACTGGAAAGCCTCCTCGTCCTAGTATGGGACTCCTCAGCAGTGCGTACCTACGATACCGCAGGCGGGACTCGTCAAAAATAAATAGTCCATAGTAAAAGTATAACAATGTTAAATAATTTCAAGAAATACTCCGAGTAGTATCGTGTTAGAAATCGCTTCATAAAGATCTGATATTGAAAGGAAGTTGTGTGACAATGTAACTTTTAATGAAGAATGCTGAGGTGAAAATACTTGTCCAACTGATATGTATGAAGAACAGAGTCAGTAAAAGTTGTATTAATGGGTAAATAATAGTTGTAAAGAGTAATGGAAGAGTAGAAAACATAAAAATGATAGATTATGGAGGATAGAAAGACTAGTTAAGATTATTGTGGGATGAGATATTACACATCGCTTTTGTAGCAATAGTACACTATACACACTCTCCATGAAAATCTACTCTTCGCTGATCTAATATAAGTGCAAACAGTCATGTGACTGACATACAATTTTAAGTCCGCTAATAATTTGTTGTTTATTTCTTTGTCATTTATAACCTATAATAAATGTGCATTATGGCTGAGGATAGCCAGTCTTTTTAATGCCTAATAAAAGTTCAATATCTAGCATTTTCGAACGTTTTTCGAATCATTGAGCGAGTTGGTACTGCATATAAGAATGTAATTTTCTCTGGAGATTTCATTTTAACATGCTATTGTAGCGCATTTTAACTGACTGGATGAAGAAAGCGAATGATGTGGAAGTAAGGGTTTGAAATAAAATCCCCAGTAAAAATTATACTTTCATATAAAACATTCATTCATTAAATCAACGGGGAAATGCTAGACGTTACAAACACATTGAAAATTGATAAGTGAATGAGTTACAAAGTGATGGATACTTATCATATCTTTGCATTTTATGTATATGTATGCATGCTTGTCTATATGTATGTTTGATTATCTATTTACTGTCCCAAATTTAAAGATACATGGATTAATTAACAGTCCGATTAAAGATTTTGGCTGAATCAAGTCAAATTCATATTTCTAAACCCTTGATTTATATCTGTATACTTCACTGATAATTAGAATGCTTGAAAATTATACGTTCCTAGAACATTACACATGAAATGCAATGCCCTGGTATGGCCGAGAGTGGGAAGAGTCCACTCTCCCTCTCGAAATACTCTCATATGGCCACGCATATATAGTCTGTGCCAGGGAAGTCCTACTCACAGCTACCTCGTGGCACCGGTGTTGTTTACGAAATTGAGAGGACGAAAAACGAATGTCTGGAGCTTTTCCTGGGTTGCTGGACACGGAAAGTCCACCTAGGGGAGTTGGAAAACCCTGATTCCAAACCAATGATGCACATGGGCTCCAGTATCTTGAGGGAACAAATAACGTATGAATCAATCGTTGATCACCGACTACCATGGGACTGCATCTCCTCACGATGCTTCACTGCCTTGTGGATCAGACCTTTAGTTCGAAGGCTCCGGGTGTGGCCCCCAAAGAAAACCACCTGCTTTGGTTTGGGCACCTGGTCAGTATCACAGCCCTCACACAAATCATATGAGATTTGTGTGGCGCATATGTATCTGGTACCCGTTTGTACCAATATTTATGTTTTTAAATAAATAAATAACACATGAGATATTTGTATTGCATTATTATTCACATAAACTAGTTACAAGACTGATCAAGTTTAAGTATTGTATACACAAAAATAAAATAAAATAGGCAAAATTATAAAGTAAGATGGATTTTGACAACTTACTCCCAGCAGTAGCTCCATACGGAACTTCAATGAACCATCTCCTTACTTTATTTTTAGCATCAAATCTATCTGAGAACAAGAAATGTGGGTGGTCCGAAAAACAATCTCTATGTAACCTTTAAATAAATATTATGCATGAAAAAAAATAATAATGAGTAAATATGATGGAGTAAGAGAGAGAAAAACGGATGAAGTCGAAAATGAAAGACATTGATCAACAACACACAAAATAGTACATTTCAAAAACAAATTGCCAATTAGTAAGTCGTTTATGGTACATATGAATGACGAGAGGATTTATACGACAGATGAATGTATAGATTGTCAATATTTGCTTACAAACGTCTTTGAAGCCCATTTATTTACTTGAACGCATAAACATTGATACAAGGGGGCACCAAATACATGTGCGCTACACAATAACAATGAGGCCAGTAGTAGTTAACATTGATCTATGTGGGGGCTGGGTTACTGCCTGGGTGCCAAAACACAAACAGGTGATATTCTTAGAGGCCCACACCCCGAGCCTTTGATCTAGAGGTCTAATCCACAACTCAGTACAGCAGTGTTATGAGATGCAATCTATCGGTAACCGGCGACCAATAACAGGTTCATACGCTAATTGTTCCCTAAAGATCCTGGAGCACATGGGCACCATTGGTTTGAAATCCGGGTTTTCTAACTCTCGTAGGTGAATCTTCTATATCCACAAATCTGTTCAAAGCGCCGGACATTCGCTTTTCGTTCTCTCAATTTCGTAAGCAACACTCTCGCCGTGAGAATTCAGTGAGTAGGACTTCTCTAAGAGTGATTGCATACACGTGGTCATGTGAGAGCACTTGAAGAGGGAGAGCTAAATCTCCCCACCATTGGCCCGTACTAGACATTCGGAGCTTTTGAAGCCTATATGAAACTACTGCTAAGAACTCAGGAAAGTAGTATTATGTTACAAAACAATATAAAAAAATTAAGTCGATACAGTAAGGAAAATGTTCATACATTTATAATTTTCACACAAGAAGATTATGGAGTCTTTTCCATTTATCGGCGAGACTATAACTTATGGACGAATTAATCAAATATAAGATAGGAAGTCTTGGATTTTGGTGCGAAGCTCATTCACTTGTATGGCCAAATAACATGGTGTCAGTTCGTGGTGAAAACCCTAACTCGAATCCCTACCACTAACTTTAAATCCCAATTCCAATTCCTCATATTGATTTATGACCCTTTTTAGAACATAGTAAATAGGTAGATTTTTTCAAAGTGCTTCAATTCAGGCTACATCCTGATAACAGCTATCCATGAGATAATCATACTCAATGATTGAAAGAAGATAGTGAACAGTATGGATTAAAATCAATATTAGTGGTTCAGTTTCAACCATTGTTTAGATGCTTTAAACGGTGAGTTTTAACATTATCCTATATTTCTCATTCCCGACTTTGTTCGTTCAAAGTATGATAAGGTAAATAAATCCAAATTTGTGCCGATTTCTACGTTGACTATATCAATGAAATAGCATCTTAACATAATATTGATATTTTTTTTTACTTTAAGTATCATGTGTAATAATCATAACCTTAAAGGGTAACCTTAATAAACAGAACAGTATGCACACACGGTACACAATGTTATGATGATTCAAGAAATTGAAGAAATATATTGATTAAAGCGTGTTTGTAGCTATTATTAAAAACGTATTAATGTATTGAATTAACCTATCTATATTATGACAAATTAGCAAGGTCAATTTAACGCAATTCATTAAGTATATACATAAGAAGTTGGTTTTAAGAGTTGTTGAGTAGTTTGTTAAAATGACCAGTTTTTAAAAAGTGGATAGTAAATGTGAATCACGACCCATCCACTTGGATTTTGAGTCGATTGTTAGTATTACTCAGTAATTACACATAAAGTATATGGTTCTATTAATGGTTAAAGATAATAATGGAATCGTCAGAATTCAAATACTTGAATCGCTGAGTTGTAGCTCTAATATATACAGATGAGCAGTAAAAAAAAAGATCATCTGACTTCCAAAACAATAGTGTCCAGCGCTGACTTAGCAGACCACTATGTTCTGCGATTGTTCAAATCTGCTACATATTTACAAGTATCTATTTATATCCCTCAGAAAATTAAGTCAGATTTTCAACCTACAGAAGTATGTCTGTTTCTGTTAGGCTAAGGCTTTACCAATAGCATGCACCCATTAACATTTCCCACTTATCATTTAGTATAGAACTATTATATCTGAATGGGCTAATTTATTACAGACATGACTATTTGCTTACACGATCGGCTATTAAATATTGTACAAAAATCAAAGATTAGTTGATTTGTAAGATAAAGTGGAAATCATTGCTGAATATCTTACCTATGTGGCACATGTACAATTATTGGTATATCTGCTAACCGGCCCATTTCTGGTTCATTTATAGCTTTAAAACTAAGCATCATAACATATGGTTTCTGTGATTTAACAGGCAATGAATGAAAAGGATGTTTAATTGAAGAAATTAGATTTGATGGCCAACCAAAACCTGATAGTTCATTGTGTTGCGCCTGCTGATGTTGTTGTTCTGCAAATACTTGTGATGTTAATTTGTCCTCTGATATCGAAGATATCTCCTGTTGATTTAGCAGTCCTTTAGAAAGGTTTTTGTTAGTTCCTAAACATTTATTGCATGCATATTGTGTTTTCTTTATTGTTGCATCATATTCATCATTTGAGGGAGAATTTTCCTCATTTATTTCACATAATAATTGATTAAATCGGTTTGGATCGATAACTAGGTTAATATCTCTTGGTGTACTTGTAATAGTTATCATTGATGCAATTTGTAACCAAGCATTATAATTTGTTAGTTTATCTAGGTCAGAAGTTACCTCTGTAGTTAGATGTAATTCCATGTTTCGTCGAATATCAATAGGAACATACTGAAAACAGTGATTTAAAAGAATTAATGAGCGAAAAACAAATATCGTAAAATAAATTAGTTAAGTCGATAATAAGACTGCTTATGTTGAGATCATGAATCGATCAATGCTAGAGCACTACTAAAAACCTGGAAGTATTGGACGACCATCTCATCCTAGTATGGAACTCCTCAGCAGTGCCCAACCACGATCCCACACGCAGGATAAGAATACAGGATCTTCGGTCTCGCGGGTACGCTTAACCTGTAGACCACTGAGTCGGTATCCAGCAGTGTCAATGTTTGATTTCAACCAATCCACGACATGGCGCAACCATTTTTCATCGTGGTTGGTAGGTAACTGCCTCACACTGGACACGATTGAACTCCACTGATTACGGCTTCTCACTAGAACTCCTAGAATTACCTCTCGAAGCTAGTCACTAGTGAGCACATGATAATTATCAGTACAGGGTTGTAGAGATTATTGAGCTTTCGGTTGAGATTGCGAACCATGATATTGTAGTGAACGAAAACTCAGGTGCGATAAACCAATTTATTGTTTAGAGTAAAATTACACAATCGCATCATAAAATATGAAAATCATACATTAATTATATGATTTGGACATCTTCTATCAGATGTCCTTTACATATACTATCATTCTTCTAATTCTGTAGTTATTCCAACTGCTATGTTCCCAATTCCGATTGCTTTTACATACTACTTATATCTGTCGGCATAAATAGCATACATCACAATATTATTTTAAGTCAATAATTTTTTTTTTCAGTATGATAGGTGTGGATTTTCGTCGAATGTGACAATTATCTACTTTGTGCAATTAAGCGTGGACTTCGTATTTAGTTTACGATGGTCCTGTGTACTTTTTTATTTATATGCTGTTTGTGAACTAATCATCAATGGTGTGTAAAATCAGTGCATAGACGTGAGTGTATTTGGTTTAATGAGAACTTATTTTCGGATGACTTGTTTTCAAATAGTAAATAAATCTTCATCACACCAGTCTTTAGTGTTCCTACTTTGCACCGTTAGAATTATAGTAGTTCCTGACTGTCAAGTATGATCAGAAAGACTGTGAACATAACAGAGTTCACATTTGAACAAGAAACAAGTGAGGTAGAATAATTCATATCGACAGTGAAGCAATCATCCATCATCAATAATGAGGCCGAATCATTGTCATACTTCATCGTCATAAGTTGACCGGATTCGGATTTATAAATCACTGGAAGTTGACTAAGTAGTCAAAAAGCAAAGCATATGCCAAAAGATATGGGTTCAATCACCCAAGTGAGATCACGATTACATACCATCGATGAGTCTCTAGTTAGAAGAAACGCTGGTTGCAAATTTTAGAGCTATTGAAGGAACAATATCATGGATAGTCACAGGGTACTAGACAAATATGGTAAGTCATCTGATGACGTAGTGAATCTTAATTGACTGAGGTGGTTAGAATATGTTTTATGCATGGGGTAACCACCTTCAACGTCCCAAACGTTGTTAACCACGACAGAAGAAAGTTAGGGAACAGTCAAATCCAAATGTAACATTAGTGTATACGTAGTGAAGGAGAGCACAGGTAAGGAAAACCGATCTCATTTTGCACGAAATTACAGTTACTTGGCAAAATAAAAAAACCATACTCTAAAACTTCATTTGGAAAATGTTCATTAATTGTCTCAGACTTCATTGTTCCTGCATTTTCATACCAACTTCTTTCTGTTCCCGTTCTTCCCTCCTCGATCTTCTCAATCTTCTGCTGTCAGACATTCTATTCCTGACTCGTGCTATATACTACTTACGTCGAAATAAGTAGCACACACTACACATAGGATCATTGGTTATTGGTTTCAGCCATGATAGTAGATGTAGACTATCTGGTTCTCATTTGCATGATTACCTTTATTAATGGTTGGATGCATTAGGTGATGAGGATGAGGATCGAAAATAAGTTGACTATTTGTTTTCATTTAGATCTTCAGTTTTGAAATATTATTTTATATGTTTTATTCCGAGAATTAATTGCTTCTTTCTCAATCAAGTTTGTTTATTCCTAATGTATTTTATGATTACTGGTACTACTAGTACTTTGCTATTCATCTTGACAATTTCATCTCGTTGTGCTGAGTTAATGTGATAACTTGGATTGAAGCACATATGTAAAGTTCAATATTGCTACAAACAAAAACCGATTCGTGATTACCTGGTTTTTAACAGTTTTTTTAATGAACATTAGTCTATGACAAAGTTTATTTTCAAAAGGAATCTAGTTTAGTTGGTCAAAGCTTTACTTCAATTTCAAATAACCGCTGTTTTGTAGGTGAAAATAAATGTGTTTTCAAGACAAATCGGTAGATAGACTGACAAGTTTCTGATGTGTCATATATAGTTCTTCATCCCTTGTACTTACATGATTATTGGACAGCACAGTACTAGCAAGGTAAATTATGTGTTCTTGATATGCGTTATGTTGAATTATGGCAGAAAAGTTATTGGCTGGGTATGTAGTAAAGAGCATGTGATCATGTACGCAGATAAACTGTTCATTGTTCTATCTAAGCAATTTAACGTATCATTAGTTTTAAGGAGAAATGGAGCGTTATTTTAACTGCTTACATAATCACCCAGTGGTGGGATGATTTTGTCTAATATATGAATGATTTAATGATTCTATTAGATTACTGGTTTATCGGATGCAGACTTGTGTAGTTAACTTTGAGTCACATACACCAAGTGTGAGGGCTAGTGATATGATCCAGCCAATGAAAGTCGCATACTTTAGCGCGAGTAAACCACAGCTCTACGATTCCACCACAAAGCTAAAATTATGTATGTGCAATATGTATCACTAATCAAGTATGAACGGATGATCTATGAAGTTACAAATGAGCTAGTTACTTAACTACCAATGGTAATGGATGATGCTGGCACCACATAGCTGGAAGTTCGTAGTTTGATGTCTTCGGTGTTAACTCTTCAGAAGTCCTAAGTTTGGATTAACAGGCAGCTTGGTTTATTATTGCTATCTAACTTGCATTAGTTCATGATGTAGATAACCTTAAATCATTTGGATATCATTTTATAGTGGGGAAAATCAAGGAAACGTTTTACAAACACAAAACTGTCTTGATAGCTCATAAGGCTTTCAAAATATCCAATCAACTAATGAATAAAATGGTTATTAAAAGACATTTGATCTTCAGGATTATTCTCATTGATTTGAAATAGTAATAGTTACAAGTCATAAACAAAAGATAACACTAACCTCGTCAAATTCAATGTTCATACTCACGGTGTACCGTAACAATGGTAATGAGGCCCCATTGCTCACGGCTCGTGGACTAAGTAACCAACCACGTCTTAACCAGATTCCACGATTTTGTAGTGTACAACCAGGTCCAGAAACAGTCAATCGAATATGCCAACCATACATTATACATGGATCAGGTACAGGTAATAATTTTATTGACGAGCTAACAAGAAGAATTCAAGGTAAATATTTAAAAACCATAGGCATAAATTCCACTGAACACTAGTCAACCAATTTATGCTATTCTATGACTAAATAAGTATTCAACTTTTGGCACAGATGAAGTCTTATATAAGTGAACCAACAGAAAAGTGCCGTAGATATCAAAATCAATCTGCAAACCGAAATAGTTTTCCCGGTATCAAAAAGATCATCTTAGGTCTATGAAACACATAAATCATAGGCGTATCAAACGATTGGGATATACAAAATAACTTATAGTAATTTGGTTAGTTATCGTAAATTTATAATTTACATTACAAATAATATTCTTCATCGGTGGTAGTACGAAGTATTAGGTAAAGTACAGAGAAAGAAAGAAGCTATGACAGACGATAAACGTCTATTTAAGATCAAAAGATGATTTAGGAGGATTTCATGGCACTCTACAATACTTCCACGAATGAATAGTTATTTATTTATTTAAACACATAAATATTGGTACAAGAAAGCACCAGATAAATATGCGCATCACAAATCTCATTCGATTTGTGTGAGGGCTGTGATACTGACCAGGTGCCCAAACACAAACAGGTGGTTTTCTTAGGGGACCACTCCTGGATCTTTCGAACTAAAGGTCTGATCCACAAGGCAGTGGAGCATCGTGAGGAGATGCAGTCCCATGTTAGCCAGTGACCAACGATTGATTCATACGCCATTTGTTCCCTCAAGATACTGGAGCCCATGTGCACCATTGGTTTGGAATCAGGGTTTTCCAACTACCCTAGGTGAACACACCGTGTCCACCAACCCGGTTAAAGCTCCGGACATTCGTTTTTCGTCCTCTCAATTTCGTAAACAACACCCCTGGTGTGAGAAGGCAGTGAGTAGGACTTCCCTGGTAGAGGCTATATATTCGCGTGGCCATGTGAGAGCATTTCGAGAGGAAGAGCGGACTCGCCCAACTCTTGGCCGTACCAGGGCAACACACAAAATAGATATCAGATCACCGGCATTTATATATTCATCATTAAAAAGATGTGAAGATTTGCAGGTCAGGTGAATACTTTCAGTGGTGTTATGTTTTCTGAGCTAAATGATTTGATTGGTAAGTATTTAATGTTTTTCTGGAAAACATCATCAACGCCTACTTTATGTAGGAAATTAGTTTCTCAGTTATTTCATTAATGTTAAATTCAGTAAACAAATGAAGACAATAAATTAGAATCACGTCCATGAGAACGAATTCATTTAACAGTTGTGGAAAAACTGGAAAAATCCATTCCACGTGAAGAAGACAATGATGATAATGTATCCCAGAATGACAATAGAAACCCAATAATTAAACCCTTTAGCTCAGAGGATACAATGTCAATAAATAAATAACCATATACGATTTCGTACGCTCGGTTTCATATATTTACAATCTTTCCTTTAAGCTATATATTTCCCCCAGATGCCCTAGTACGGACCGAGGGTGGGGAGAGTCAGCTCTCCCGCTTCAAGTGCTCTCACACGGCCACGCGTATACAGTCACTGTTAGAGAAATTCTACTCACTGAATTCTCACGGTGAGAGTGTTGCTTACGAAATTGAGAGAACGAAAAGCGAATGTCCGGTGCTTTGAACAGGTTGGTGGATATAGAAGATTCACCTACGAGAGTTGGAAAACCCGGATTTCAAACCAATGGTGCCCATGTGCTCCAGGATCTTTAGGGAACAATTAGCGTATGAACCTGTTGTTGGTTACCGGCTACCATGAGACTGCATCTCCTAACAATGCTGTATTGAGTTGTGAATTAGACCTCTAGGTCAAAGGCTTGGGGGTGGGCCTCTAATAAAACCACCTATGTGTTTGGGTACCCGGGTAGTAATCTAGCCCTCAAACAAAAGGAATGATTTATGTGGCAAATAGCTGTTTGTTGCCTCCTTGTACCAATGTTTATGTGTTTGAAACAAATAGATAAAGACTATCTTTATCGTTCTAAGATTTATTTCAAAAGCTTTTCCAAGTTCTTGATTAAAAAAACAGTTATTTTTTTATAGTTTAAATCACGAGCTCATCTTACTTACCATTGAAAACCTGGGAGAACTGTAAGACCGTTTTGTTTCGTATGGAACTTCTTGTCAGTGAACGTCGCCGACCGCAAATGAGAAAGTTAAACCCATAACTTTCGGTCTCGCACGAAAACGCTTAACCTATAGATCATTGGGCCGGTATCCAACGGTGTTCATGTCCAACTACAATCGATTCAAAATATTGCTCAACCTTCGTCCATTGTGTGAAGTGGATAATTGTCTCGAACACGACATGGTCACGACATTTTACTAGAACCTCACGACCAGTATCTTGAAGCTAGTTATTAGTGAGCACATGATTATAGGAGGATTCATGGAGATTTTAGAATTTCCACAGTTTTTATTTTAGATGTCGATCAGCAAAAATTCTGCAGTAGTACAATGTATTATCATTACAATCATGAAGACTTCTTACAAATATAAATCAATTTACTTATTGTTACCTATTGTACGTTGCAATCAGAGTAAAACAATATAAATAGATTGTTCAATAGGATTTATGGTATGCCCTAAATCCGGATATACCATTTTTTTCTGTTTATATGAAATTAACGAAGTGAAATATTAAGTATATATATAAGATGATGATGAGTGAATGAAGAAAACATTCAGTCAGTCACAACGTAGAACTTCGTACGTACGTACATCAATTAGATTTGCCATACCCCATTAGCACAGAGATGAAGTTGTCGATTCAAATCCCACGGTGGTAGAAGAAGTAGGAGTATAAGCAGTAATCAGAAAGATCAGGGGTTGAAGACGTTATTCAAGGAGTATAATCCAGTGAAATAAATTTGAAAACAGAAAAAAGAAAGGGACATGAAGAATTCAGAAGATTAGAATTTGGTAGAACACAAAGAGTAGATGTACCTGCGGCATTGCAAACGATTTTGAGCCATGTCATTCAACGTCTCTAACCATTGATTGCTATCATCTCGCGAATCCCAACCAGGTAGTCTACACTTACCAACATGGCTCAGTCCAATTATTAGTGAATTATATCATAAACCCCAAGCACAAATTTATCGGTACCTATTTATAATCTATCCAACTTCATTGTTCAGAATGACAATGAAAGCCTAAGAATTCAGTCGTCGTCCAGTTCAAAAAATGAGACATTATTCTAAGAGTATTGTCCATCATGAACCACAAGACTTCGAATACATCTATAAATATTAATTGAATTGAATAATGTTAACTTACTTTTCAACATTAGATGATGGAGAGGATATATCATCAACATGATCAACACCATTTACATTCTTGAAATCTGTACACAGATTAGTTATTTCTTTATTTCGTTCATATAATTTATGTATGAGACAATCTACATAACAGAAGGCTCTATCTACTTGCATCAAACCATAACCTTGATCCAAATAAGATAAATGTTCAAATGATTTAGAAGTATTTATTAGGCATCTATAAATAAGTGATGGTGGGATTTTCAACCTTTGACTCTCAGAACATGTATATCGATGACGCAATCCGGAGAGTATAAGGCCTATAAACAAGGATGCAAAAGTGTCATATGAACTTTCGATATATATATATATATATATATATATATATATATATATATATATATATATATATATATATATATATATAGTGAGAGAGATCCTGGAGTAACATGGAGACGGAGATGATTATTTTAAGCAGAGATCAAAAGTGGATAGCAGTGGAATCCCAGGCATATGCTTCGTTCAATTTAAGACACGTCAGATAGATGTGTCTAAACATCAGTGAGAAGATCCAAACAACAAATAAAAATGAATTAAAATTCATGCGATTGCTCAAGCTAGTAGCCATTTGAACTGATTAGCTAAGTGGATAACATGTGTGGTATTTGATTCGAAAAGTACCGGGTTTGAATCCAGGAGTGAACGTCAACTCTGTCATCTATGTTTGCTCAAAATATTTAAGGCATATTGGCAATATCGAAACAATCAGTACAGGATGCATACTTAACAAATGAGAATGATCAATTTCAGTCCTAAATATCAACGGGATGATTTAAACAACAAATACAAATGAAGTAGATAATTATTAAATGAACTTTGACGTTCATTTTAGAATGGGACATTTCTACAGTACAAATCTACAGCTCCATTAAAAGATCAGATGCAGGAAGAATCGGGTTTAAAAATGAGGATAATTTACTAGAAATTGAGTGCTTTAAGCATTAATTCACTTCACCATACATCTATTAGTTTTCCAGCGATTAACCTTTTGATGAGATGGTATAGGGTTGCGTTGTATGTATTAAGAATGGCATCATAAAAATATTTATTTGTGGCACTATAAAGTTATCGAGTTGATATGGAAGCACTAGATACATTTATTTAAACACATAAATATTGGTACAAGAAAGCACCAGATGTGCACCATTGGTTTGGAATCAGGGTTTTCCAACTACCCTAGGTGAACGCACCGTGTCCACCAACCTGGTTAAAGCTCCGGATATTCGTTATTCGTCCTCTCAATTTCGTAAACAACAATAGTGCCATGAGAAGGCAATGAGTAGGACTTCCCTGGCAGAGGCTATATACGCGTGGTCATGAAAGAGCATGTTGAGGGGTGAGCGGACTCTTCCCACTCTCGGCCGTACCAGGGCGTTTGGGGTCAGAGTTCATATGCAACCTAGATGTATGCATAAGTTTAATCCATACAAAAGTGATACCACAAAATATGATGAGGATGTTTGAAACAACTTTATCTCGTAATAAAATAATATAAATACTTTTTTATAATTAACACAATTACTATATTTATGCAGTTGTTAATTTACAAAAAGTACTCACTAATTCCACCAGTAACCATAGGTGCACTCATTGAACTTCCACTCAGAACACTGGCTGGTTTTAATTGCCAACTAGCTATAGACGTATTAGCACCACCGGGAGCAGCAACACATATTCCTAAAGCCCCATCAAATGCTGGACCACGACTACCCCAATTATAAGCAGTTGGTTTAGCATTTTCACTAAGACGAGAATGATTCACAGAATTCCGAGAAGTTGAATACACATTCTCCGATTGGTAGTTTGATTGAGAATCATTATCACAAAACTTATTATATAAACAGTTGTAATCAAACGATGAATCACTTGGTTGGCAATATAGATAATGCATCATGTCAGGAAATACTAAGGGTGCAACACCTGTAATAAAAAGATTAAAGAGGTAAGCTAATTTCTTTTTTTAGTGATATTAAAAGTTTCGAAATTCGTAATTTTTAGGGAATTACTTCAGGTTGATATTATGTAAAATTAAAAATTTAGACTTAAATATTTGAAAGTAATGTGGTCACTGTGATGGTCTAAAAATCTCCTGGGTTTAATTCCATTTAAGAGTCGTAGGCCGGTGTTGCTGGGAAGGAAATAGTTCTTTAGTGCCTCCAGGTTTATAGTAGTTCGTTTTATAATTAGATGCTAAGCTGTGACGCAAACTAATCTTAAACTGAATAATTAACGTAAATCCCACGCATATGAATAGTTATCAATGGATTTCCAAGTTTATCAATCAATAAAGTCTTCGTCTCTCTGAGGGTCACTAACATTCAAATCTGTTTGACCACCATATCAAGGTAGTTGATACTACGGTCGAGCAAAAGGTAAGATATAAATTTAAGTACATAAATCTATAATTGATAAATCATTTACACTATCTTTAGAATCATTTACCAAAACGAAACAGTAAACTTCGAAGATTAAACAGGAAACAATGAGTTACGTTACTAGACTAACAGTAAACTGGATAAAAGTAAAAAAACTGGAATGTTGGTTGTGTATTTATATTGAGTTCATTATTTTTAGTTTAGAAATGATAGTAGAAGAATTTGACTGGGAAAATCTAAACTAATGTCACACAAATTGCTCCATACACTCAGGGAGTTGCTCTGATTCTTTCAAAAGAATCACGAAATGCACTTTTTTGGTGGGAATCTCATGGACCTAGAATCATCAAAGCATCCTTCAAAAAAAGAATGAGGGAATCACAATGAATGTTATATAATATTATGCACCCACAAATGATAGCAACGACGAAGATAATGGTCAGTTTTATGAGGGGCTTCAGTCACTTAAAGAGTAGTGCCTAGGAAATGACCTGACCATACTGATAGGAGACCTGAACGCAAAAGTCAGAATGGACAACAACATGAAGATATCATGGGAAAACATGGACTGACTGGGAGAAAAAACGAAAATGGTGACAGATTTGCAGATCTATGTCCATTCAATAAATTGGTTATAGACGGCACTATATTACACCACAAACGCATACACATAGTTACACAGGTCTCACCAGATCACAACACAAACAACCAGATAGATCATATTTGTATCAGTAAAAAATCCACAAGGTTAATGGAAGACGTGAGAACCAGGAGAGCAAGACCCAGATATTTGGAAGAAACGGTCATCCACTGATTCCATGTTTCCAGTGGTGATCTAACTTAGATCGATTCATGAGTTAAATAAGATTGAACAACCTCCACAATTCTTTACTGTCAATTTTTTTAGTTGAAGAGTAGTAGATATAGTATAACAAGAGCAGAAATGCAAGACAGGTATACTACAGGAACTTACCAATCACACCTTGAACTGTACCACCTGGACAACTTAATGAACCCAAACTAGGTCCGTTATTCCCACCGCTTGCAACCATAATGATACCATATTTATGAATCATTCGATTCAAATACTTTGAGATACGTCTGTTGAGGAGAAATGAGTGTTTTTTTAACAAAAAAAACAATGGGAACAATAGGAAACTCTTTTTTTACAATGTATTGCTTTAATTAAGACGAAATTCAAATATAATTCGCAAACTGTATCGATTTTAACATTTTTTGGTCAGTATGAGTTATACAAGTGGTACTAAATGGTTGACCAGACTTTAAGAATCAGAGGGGTAGAGCTTTCTGCATAAAAGTTGTTTACTTAAACCAACAAATCAATAGCGTCATTTAAACTGTTTACCAATTATTAACTATGAAATGCACTTCATTCACACATACTAAAATGTAACGATTGGTTTTACAGTATATCGGTCTTGTTGAAGCAAAACATACATAGTAACAACGGTTAACCAATGTTACATGGTAATCATATGGCAGGATATGAAACCGGACGTAATAAAATAGATACCCCGTAAAAAAAACTTACTTTTCCCTCTTTAATTCAGCTTCTACGTGTTGAAAAGGTCAAGAGAACCCATAAAGTTTATTGCATCTCTAGTTAACAATCATACGCTCAGAAACTCATAGGCATTTATACGAAATTTTGAGGTGTATGTAAGAACCAACCATTAAGAATGAGAGTCTAAACGTGATCGGTTAAACATTACGTATGTAATTTAAAAATCCCGATTGAAAAATACCTATCTGGTTTACAGATTATGGTCAACATTTTGAGAAACTTTGCAGTTATCAACAACCAGGGGTTTATATTTTCTCGTAGTTAATATTCAAGAACACATTTGATCAGTCTCTGTTTGCATATGTTCACATTGATCAGAGATGTCACAATATTACTCACAATTCAATGTTTTATTATCTTTCTGGATTATGGTTAACAGTGAAATCTAAGGTAGTAGCGTAGTGGATAATCAATTGAAGCTTGAAGCATGAAATAGTCTTCCAGTTTTAATCTGAACAACGATAGTAGAATGCAAGCAGATCCCTAAGGTGATAGTTTACAAATCGGACGAAATCTACATTCCATCTTTCATTGTTAACCATAATCCTGAAATATAAATAAGATCAAATGAAGAATTTATTCGACAAAACATACAATATCAGAAGGAGGTTTTGTGGAGATTTTAGTAATTTTATATAGTTGAGATCATGAGTCATTTGAAGCTAGACCACCATGGAAAACCTGAAAGCACTGGACGGCCGTTTCATCCTATTGTGGGACTTCTCAGAAGTGCGCATCCACGATCCGGCCTCGCGAGATTCGAACCCAGGACCTATCAGTTTCGTGCGCGAGTACTTAACCGATATACCACTGAGCCGGCATCCAACGGTGTTAATGTCTAACTTCAAACAACTTCATTTTTCGTTACTATAATACGTTTTATTATTATGATGATTTTTGTATACTTTCCTATTTTATCAAATGATTACATTAGTGGAATAAAAGTATAGGGATGACCTTAGAGGATTCTAAAGCTGACCTTGAAAAATCTTAACTACTTATCCAAATCAAACTGAGGTAAAAAAAAAAAGGACTTCTTGTCATTCTGTCACAGATGTCGTCGTCTTACTTATCAGAAATTGATGTTATACCAAGAAATTCATTGACTTTGAATATGTACATGATATAATCCTGTTTGATGAAAACAATAACAAAATGAAGTTTTTTTAATCATCTCAAACAACAACGTTGCTTCAGGACTGGTCTGCATCAGCGCCTGGATTACCGATAAGAAATGAAGTAGCTGATTGTGTTGAATGCTTCACTTATCTTTGGAGTCTCATTAACCTTGAAGAGCTAGCATCTGAATAAATATCGGCACGGATTCGAAAAGTCTGGTTAGCGTTTAACTAGATATCCATCTGTCAATCAAAGGAAAAGTTTACAGCAAAGCAGTTTGATTTGCTCTACTTTATAGGTGTGAAACAAGGCCACAAATAATAGAGGAGTAGGGAGAAATACCATAGAACTTTCTTCTCTTTACCTACTATTAATCTTTTTTAATATTCTTAATGCTGTTAGTACTTCTATTATTCCGGAATCAGTCTTGATAATTTTATCTCGCTGTGCTAATGTAGTATAGAGATTTGGACCAATGCACATAAATGTATCAACAACAAATCGATAAATTAGGTTTCTAAAAGACATATACAATCCTAACAATTCGTTAATTATCAGCTAAACATTTGTGTTCATCTTTCAATGTTTTTCTACGAATTCGGTGTTCATCTTGTTGTGCTAACAAGGTATGGCAACTTGGACCGATGCATAAATGTGCCTGGTCCTACGTTGTAGCTGACTGACTGACTGACTCAGTGCAACTGAGCGATATGGGGAAGTAAGACCATAACATTACAAAACATGACAAAAAGTGTTGGATTTCAAAATATACTGACCACAATGTAGGAAACCGATAAGCTTTTTCACCGTGGAAATATGAAAAATACACCTACAAATAAAAAATAAAAAAACATAATAATAATAACATAACATACCCAATATTTGGCCAAATTGCTTGTTCACCAAAACTGTAATTTACAATATCACATTTTAGTTCAATTGTCCATCGGATCTAAATGAATTATAAGGTGTGTATAAGTATATGCTAAACTATCAATCAATATGCATGGACGACTGTCAACACAGAATGAAGTTATTATTTCGTTTTAAAGTTATATGGAGACGAATTTAATATAGTCATATGCTCACCAGTAAATTGCTTAGAGTTCTACAGGTTCTAGGAAGAAGTCGTGAAGGTTGAGCTGCATCGGCTTAGAAGTACCATAATTATTTTTGGTGACCTCAGATAGAAATCATGCCATATAACGAATTGGTCGGGGATCGGAATGTAAATCAAAAGTTGAGCGTTCGTCGCGAGGACTAACAGTCTGACTTCGTGAGCGAGAAGTCCCATACTGGAACAGAATGCGCGGTCACTATTTTTGGTTTATCGTGATACCCTAATTAATGTCAATCCGTGAAAAAAGTTATCTAATAATTAATTGCCACGTCAGTGAAAACAAAGAGTTTGTTTACTCCATAAGTTTACGCTTTTAGAAATACATCATTTATTTGTTTATTCACTGATGTGTTTTAGGACACTTTCAGCCACAGTTGAGGCTTAAAACTGTGTTTTATACACATGCCTTTGGTACACATTGTTTATATTAAGGTCATAACTGCTACGACACAACCGAACAAGAGAATACAGATGAGACAGAGTTCGTAATCGTGTCCGAATGAACAAAAGTCGAATGTTTTAACTACTAAGTCAACTCATTGAGACACTTTTTCCTGTGAAATGTTGGAATGCTAAAACACGTTCTCAATTCTCTGCTACCTTACGCTCGACTAACGTTCAATATGTTAATTAACTAAATCTCATCCAAAATCATGGATAAAATATACATGCAAAGTAGCTGTATCATTTTGGCACTTTTTCATGATATTAAATACTCTGTTACAAAATATACGTCCTTTAAAGCGTTTCGTTGTATAAATACCGTTGAAACGTCATGATAGAGAAAAACTAGCTTCAACTATGGGTGTTTAATTTGAAAACCAGTGGCCATGTTTTCACCCATTAAGACAGCAGACAGAATTAGGTTTTCAATTAGCAGGTTAAAAATAGATGCAAACGCGAATGTAAACAACAAAAGCTTGTGTGTGAATTGTATAATAACTGTTAGTTATTAGCTAGTACCATAATGAATGGACTAGTTAGGATTAAATGAAACTTCCTCAATGGCAGAGTACTAATTTAGTATGCCAGATTATCAAAACGATAGCACTTCAAATCTTACTAAACGAATCCGATTAACTGAATACTTTAACAGAAAATCTATACAATATAGTTCTGCTTCCATAAGACTGTGCCGATGAGCGAAATAACCTCTATCCAAACTAATCTTTCATACTAGTACATATGGAAAAAAAATATATCATCAATAACTCACGGCACGTAATAAACTAATTCCTGTTTCCATTGGACCTAAACGACTGTCTGAAATTTTAATGCTTACAATTTGTGCACCAGGTGCAACTCCATCACGATCGCACAACATGGTAGAATTAGTAACAGTTCCACTACTAGGAGATGAAGTTTCTGAATGATGATTGGGAAAATACGCTGAAGCAATCGCTGAAACATGAGTGCCATGACTACTGTTATTTGTAACAATCTGTAGTAACTTTCCATTGTCAAAAATTTTCACTGTATAATAAAGTTGGGCTTTAAAACAAAATTTAAAAAGGACTTAGGGAATTTCGCATATTTTTGGAAAATAACGGATTCGGTGCAACAAAAACTAACAGGACCAATTATAATAAATCCGTGAACTGAGCTGATCATTTTCCCATAGTAACGGTGTTGTCCATCATGAATTTCCTCCTTAAGTATAAAATGTAAATAGCGTCTTACACATGGAAATTTTGAGTGCTATAGAGATCGTTTAATAATATCACATATATATATATATATGATATTATTAAACGGTTGTTGTGATGTAAGGTGCTGGTTGAAGGTAGTCAACAGGAAACCCTGGACCTAGGTTTTGTGATATTAAGCACTCATCAGCAAGGTGTACCTGTAATCTAGAGGGCACTGATGCTCCCTGGTAAATTCGATCTTGTATCACCCAGCTTCACAGCCGGAGATGTTACTGTAGTGAACAGAACACGAGTTGGGGACAATCTAACGTATTTAAGCACAAATTACAAACTATCTCACTAAAATCTGATAACCATACAGTAAACAGTTATTTTGCAAAGTAACAATCAATTGTCCCTTCTGTAAATATCAGTCCATCTTCTCTGATCTTATTGTTCATATATCTTCATACCGATTGCACTTCATTCTTATTCTTCCCTTATCGATCTTCTGCCAAAATACATGCTATGCCTGACCCTCACCATATACTACTTATGTGGATATACGTAACCCACACCACATTACCATTGGGCCATCCGGGTCGCGAAACCCAAGTTTATAGTTTCCCGTCGATTACCTCCAACCACCATCTTGCATCTCAACACAGTACGCGCGATGTCGAGTCACCTACACTAGTGGCCAGATTAAAGCTTGATCAATAAAATTTGATCTGCACTACGAAGGATCTGAGACATATGGTAGTGATCACTATTCAATAATCAGTCAATTTTAAAGATGGTTATCATATCAAGACAATTAAACTGTACATTTAGTAGTAATAGTCTTCAAAACTGGCTCGTAATCCCATTACCCTCCGTACTCACTAGATAACATCATTGAAAGGCCTAACTTCTGAAGATTTCTGAAGATATTTTAAAAGGTAGGATAGGAGATAGAACAAGCACCATTATTAATCGAGATTATGAGCAGAAATAGTGTTAATGTACTCTAAATTTCGTAAAATAAATTTTTTATGACCTCGATTCGCAAATTCACCAGAGAGGCTACGTAAGTACTTCGATGATTTACAAATTAATTACACTGCACAGAGCTGTTGTACTGATGTATCGTATAGGTTTATGTACTGACCTTTGATGCAGACAGTTTTGTATTAAATAGTAATACTACACGACAGGAAAAGGAGCAGATCTCATACCTGCAAATGGTTGGTCGAAAAGTAAACATTCTATTCTAATTCGACAGCGCAAATGACTTTACACACTAAACTCGATATCTGTTGAAACCTATTGAACACTTATATTCTATAACAGAAACCCTAATATTTAACGATTGAAACGAAATAATGTAATAGAAATTTACTAACCGACCCGGTTAAAGCTCCGGACGTTCGCTTTTCGTCCTCTCAATTTCATAAACAACACCCCCGCCAAGAAAATGAAGTGAGTAGGACTTCCCTGACAAAGGCTGTATAGGCGTGGCTGTGTGAGAGCATTTCAAGAGAGAGGGCGGCACTCCCCACTCTCGGCCGTACCAGGGCATTTGGGGGCAGATTCCACAGTTAGCCACAATCCAATGCTGATAATAAGTATATTAAAATGTATACTTGAAATTAAACCACCCACAGCTTACTTTGTTCACCAAATGATGCATATTCATGGTTAACTGTATAATCTCGTAATAATGGTAAATCGGACAATTTTGTATTTGGATTGTATGGACTTGTATCTATACAAGCGCTGAAAGATCAAAACAGAAAATTAATAACGTGTAATACTAATAGGTGATGAGTAGTTAGTTATTTAAAGTTTCTTTTTGCTATGTTTGATCAATCCATACTAAAGGATGATCATCTGGGTGAAATAAGTGTCATTTAGTTAGTCGTAAATAAAGCAGATGAGACTATAATTTATGGATGACTCTTGAACGACGTTTAAGTGGCTTTAAAAAATCCACCTACTTACTAGGGGTTAGAGATAGAAGTTAGGGTTTTCATCACGAATTGATACGTTAAGAACATCCACCAATATGATTTTGTATATATATAAATTTCTTTTTGAGTTGTTGAAGAAAAATGCCCAGAATATAAATGAACTCCATGAAGTTCTCTTACAATATTGCTGTCTAATTGCCTTGTAGTATCTATGATTTACAAGGAAAATATATGTATGGTGTTAGCGGGAAATAAACCGGATTAAGGCATGTTATGTGCATGGTCGTGATGGCGCACGCTGATTGACTAATTCTAAACCAATCAGCTCTGGCAAATTATTGGAGAAACATCTAGAAGCTTCTTATGCATATACTACAAATATATGAATGTTTTTTTAACGATTGATTTCTGTTCACCTACCCTTGTTATTTTGAATACAATTTGGTTCCTGTTCAACGTGTTCTGAATTTGGGGTCTTGTCGAGTGTCATCGTATAAAAATACTAAACAATAGGAGTAGCTGGGTTGTTCATTAGCAAAACAATTATAACACATGGATACTATTGAAAAAATATCATAGTGACAATAAGGAGATGTGCCTTTTAATTTTGTGAACTTAACAACCCTATGGAATAGGAAATCTTATGCTTTTTCCTTTAGTTCACAGCTGGTAAAAGAAAAATGTTTGTTCATTTGTATTAGTTGTTTGAATCTTTCCGTTGATATTTAGAACCGAAACTGATCCATCTGACTTAGCATATTTGCATCCTGTGCGGAGTGTCTCTATAGTGCGATTAAGTCACAAGCAGTTTAAGTAGAGATGGATGGTAACTAGCAGTGAAAACCACGATGCCCGTTTCATACTATTTGGGACTCGTCACCTGGATATACCTGCATCGCACAGTGGAGGTTCACTCTGGGACTCGCTTCAAAAGCCATCGCGTTATTGATCAGTCTCTTTTGGTATCTTGTACAGAATGCATCGATATTGTGATTAAATCACAAGCATTAAAAGCAGAGATAGATTGCGGCTAACGGTAGAGTTTGAATCAGACGGTACTAGGTTCAATTTCTGGGGTGAACGTCGACTCTGGGATACACATACATCCATCTGACGAGTCATAAATAGGATGAAATGCGCATCCGGGATTCCAATGATGGCTATCATCTATCTCTGCTTAAAAAAATGGTTATCACTCCCGAAGAAAATTAATAATTTGACTTACACCCATTCATTGCCATCATGAAAAACAAAACAATCGTATATAATTTCCAAAGGTGAATAATGTTGATCTAAAAGAATTAAACTTTCTTCCAAACACCGAGCAGCATTTTTTAATTGAACCTAGAATTGATCAAATAAATAATTTTTTACAATGATGACGTTTGAACATAGAACGTTTTTAAAGTTCAGTATTGACCTACTATTGACGATTTACTTGAAAGCATCGTAAAAGGTTCCAAAAATAAATGAAAGAAGCATTTAAATACACAATCACAATATCAAGACGCTGTTTTATTACACGGAGACGATATTGAATACAGTCCCTACGGAATAGCAAAAAAATGTATATGAGCTTATAAAATGCTCAGCTTATTCGTTTGACTCCTAGCTATGAATAGTATTCAAATACTATTACTGAATAATTCGGTTGCAACTAAATTATACTTTGTTCCCATTACGTAAACTGACGGATGTGGATTCAGTAACTAAATGGGTAACTGCTTAGCGTTTGAAGAGAATATCAATGAGCCCGAGTCCTGGAGTGAGCATCGATATAGATACACGTACACCTAACTGAACAATTTCAAACAGGACGAAACGCGCGTCATAAATCCCACTGTTAGACAATATCCAACCCTTTTTAAAGTAGAGATAAACGATTACATATTACTGTACTAAACCATTTATGAAGTGAAAAACTATGAGCAAAGTAAATCCCCTTTCAGCATTAACCGTCACTCTTCATCAATTACTGCTGTGAAGTATGTGGTAGTATTATTTTCACGAATGGATTACAGTAATCAAAGAAAACGATTAAAATGGAAAGTCTTAGCCACAAAAGTAACTGTTGTGATTTAGTTTTTAAAGCACTCAGGTTTCGCCATGTAGGTTACAGGTTAGATCCTCGCTTTACTTACTTCAGTGTAGATACAGACATATATTTGGTAAATACGTTATTTAGTGAGATAAGTTCCTTGGAGCCCCATTGTGAAAAAATGTTTGTGCTACAGATATAAAACTACGTAGATAAAAAAGAGAAAACCATATTGATTATGTTACTCAATCTGTACACTTTAATGTTGAGTGGAAGTTTTTGAAATATAAGGACAAATACATTGTATACATATGGATAAATTGACAATTTTTTTCATAGTTGAAATCATGAGTCAATTGAAGCTAGACCACCATGAAAAACCTGGAAGCAATGGACGGGACTCCTCAGCAGTGCCCATCCATGATCTCGCACTCGCGAGATTCGAACCCATGACCTACCAGTCTCGCGCCAGAACACTTAACCGATAGACAATTGTTTAGGTATTATGTACTATCCAACTCTACCAAGTTAAGTGAACACAATGAAACATCGTATCTGGTGTAATTCATGTTAATAATTACATAGTCAAATAGATTTGTTGGTGTTTCAACGTGGTTTCCTACCTTTTAAACTATCAAACGATTTTCTTACAGTAAATGCTTATTTTATCAAGTGTCGGGGTGTGTGAAGGCGTTTATCCACATCTGACGATAAGATGATCAGTCATTGAAAAGAAACTGAAATATGCGTAATAATAATTTAAAAGATAGAAACTGAACTAGTGGCTCACGAAGATTAAGATTATTGCCTTTAGATTAAATCCTCGTGAGGTAATAAACACCTATAATTTAGGAAGCAGAAAATTTTGAAAAACAATTTCTTACTTTTGCAGTGGACGGCGATAAACTAGACTTATCTTGCTTGAATTCTGATGAACTTTTCTGTTGAGAATGTTTGTTGACAGTAAAATTTGTTTGAGGCGAAATAGTAACTAAATTTTGATTGGTCAATTTCTGTTTGTTAGACAATTCGGTTGAACCTGATTCAACTAATTTTCGAAAATTACCTAAAGTAATGAGAATAAATCATTTCGATCTATACGTGAAATTCGAATTGAATTGTGTAGTAGACGTATTAGTGGTATTAGTAAGAAAAGGAATGAAGGATGCCTGTAATATAGTCCGTCACTTAATACATGTTTTCACTATATCTACAGTAAATAACCAAAGGTCGGAAAGTCTTTAAATTATTAGTCAAAGTGGATATAACAACATTGATAGTCTTAGTGACCTTAATTAACAATATGTAATGATTACAAGCTTTTATCATATGTAACTAAAATTAAGGTCAATGTCATCGAAAGTATCCAATCTGATCATGATACAGACAGGAAGACAAACGAACGTAAAACCAGGCACAAAAATGAATTTATTCAAGTCGTAAAGACAATGCCCATAGGTATAGGGAAAAGAGCGTATGGATGGACAATTATCTGTTCTGTAGAGTTGAGATCATGATTCAATTGAAGCTAGACCACCATTGAAAACCTGGAAGACATTAACACCATTGGATACCGGCTCAGTGGACTATCGGTTAAGTACTCTGGCGCGAGACTGGTAGGTCCTGGGTTCGAATCTCGCGAGGTGGGATCGTGGGTGTGCACCGCTGAAGAGTCCCACAATAGGACAAAATGGCCATCCAGTGCTTCCAGGTTTTCCATGGTGGTCTAGCTTCAATTGACCCATGATCTGAACTCCATGAAATTACTAAAATCTCCACAAAACCGCTTCTGATAATTATCTATTTATTAGTACCTTGATGAAAGATGCCACTTACCAAATTTAACAATTTGAAGCAAACTTATATTGTTATGCGGGACGATTTGATTTACATTGTTTCTTAAACTGAATGTGATAACAGAGCATTTACACTGGAGGAAAAATATATCTAACTAGCAAAACAGGAAAAGTTTCTGAATAAATTAATAACACTTTTAGTGTAATAGTCGATTTAATCCAGAAATCTCAAAGATGCCAATGAGCCAGACAAAATTATAGAATGATAAAATGTAAAAATTGTCTATTCTTGCTTTACTATGATTAATGTCAGTTCTTTGTATATGAACAAGCAAGAACCAAAGCCACGTAGAACTAAGATGAGAAGAAATGATACTTCAGTTTTTTGAATTCAAATTCAATGGTATCAGATCTCCATATACAACGTAATTGTCGTTATTTTTTGAACATAAGAACCCAGTAATTACTCTCGAAATAAAGTCCTGGTAGATAGGTATACGTATCTTTTAGATTTCATGTTTGAATTCAACTCTACTTATCGTCTGGTTAATAATCATTAGTATCTATATAATAGGTATAACTAACAACATCTAATCGCTCAAATCTCAGTATCCACTTTGCTGCATCATATGATTTGCGTGCTTTTAACAAAACGCTTTTAGTGTAAACATTTAAAAAGCATAGGTTGCTGATATATTTGTCGATGATGTAAATTTAAAAAATCCAAATATCAGAATCAAGATGAGATTATCCATAAACTTTTCAGTTACAACTAGGGATGCATTAAACATTCACATAAAAGTTTCAATTACTCAAATCAAAGTGACACAAGCCGGGAGAAATGTCTAGAAAACAATGATTTCACACGAATGTCACAACGAAGGGTATCATAAAAACGTTCAGCCATTTGACTTAAAAAAACAATTTATACTCAACGATACATAAACTCCGACAAGCACCTAGAATAATACAGTCATTTTAACTGCCATACGACGAAAAATTCAAATGTGTGATAATTTGAAGTAAAAGATAAATAAATTAATGTGTAGAAAAACAACACCAACTTTTATTTCCGTTATGATTTGACATAAGGTTCTGATTTAAGTACTCTTCAGCTTCAGTCAAATCATAAGCTAAATTTGCAGCTATTCGTTTAATACATGGTCGCCAGAAATTATCTCGATTTTCACTACGTAATCGTTGCATCAAAAGTTTCGGGAATAGTTCAGATGCTGGCTTCACACCAATTCGTATTATGCCATCTGGAGGATTCCAATGACTCGGTATCTGTAATACAGGTTATATATATATATATATATATATATATATATATATGCACATATATACAATGTAATGTATACAAGTATAAGAAACTGTGTCATGTTTCACACTTAGATGACATCTCAATAAATGAGACATATTATTAGGTATGTGTTGTATGGAGATTAAACCATCCATTGCTTCCTAATCTCTAATCTATTGGTTGGTGGTTGAATAACATCAAAAACAAAAAGTTAGAGGAAGGTAAATAAAAATGAAATCGCTTTCAATATGATAATATGTAGGTAGTAAAAGCGAATAAAGTAGTCCGGAACCATTGAATATGAAAATGACTGTTTGCTTCTTTACATTTTAAAGAAATAGCATAAATTTGCATAGCGAACTGTGTCAAAAGAGCACATGGAAAGTTTCACAATGGACCATAATTTACATAAGGCATGAATAGTAATAAAAATGAAGCTTAGTGAGAGAACTAGACTAGCTACATTTTCTAAGACACTGTTAAAAGTTCATTGATTAGTTTAACAATCGAAGATCTATCGAAAAAACAGGTAAGTGAAAAGTTCGATACTCTCTACTGATATAAAGTGCTTATTTTCGCAGAGCGATGTCTTAGTGATTAAGGAGTTCCACTTGTAGCCAGTAAGTCCGAGGTTCCGACCCCGCTCCACCCATTCCGGTCTCGGCTAATTAGCTATCACGCTTACGGTGTGTATCATACCCAATTACCTGAGGAATGAGTTGATTTGAAATAATCCCTGAAATTAACGCCTTTGAACCTAGCCAGTGGTTCGGTCATTAAACAATTGGGTTAAGAATAAATGAATTTGACTTTCTAAATGAACTTTTCCTAAGTCACTGACTAATATCTGTTTTTATTTTAAGATTTCATTACTCTATAGGTTAAAAAAATCAAATAGTTTTTTACTAGACAACCTGATATTTACTGTAGAATTGCCGATAGAGTCTATTAAATCAAAGCATACAAATATCTAGTCTATTTTTGTTTTGCTGAATGATTAAATGACATTAATTTGTAATGGCTATTGTATTTAATCTAATCGAATATGTTAAGACAATAACCTACACGACTGATGACATTACTTTGCTTTGACTTCCGTATTTGGTAAGTTGTGTTGCCAATGAGGTTGGTGCCCCCCAAATGCCCTGGTAAGGCCGAAGGTGGAGAGATTCAGCTCTCCATCTCGAAATGCTGTCACACGGACATGCATATACAGCTATCTCCAAGGAATTCTTACTCACTGACCTCTCACGATGAGTGTTGTTTACGAAATTGAGAGGACGAAAAGCGAATATCCGGCACTTTAACCAGGTTGGTGGACACAGAGAGTTTACCTAGGGGAGTTGGAAAACCCTGATTCAAAACCAATGGTGCACATGAGCTTCAGTATCCTGAGGGAAAAAATGGTGTTGGAACCAATCGTTGGTCACCGGCTAACATGGGACTGCGTCTCCTTACGTTGCTCCACTGCTTTGTAGATCAGACCTTTAGTTTGAAGGATCCGTGTGTGGTCTTCTAATAAAACCACCTGCTTTGCTTTGTGCGCCTGGGAAGTATCACACCCAACACACAGACCAAGTGACATGCGTGGCGCATGTGCATTCGGTACCCCATTTCACCAATATTCATGTGTTTAAATAAATAATAAATAAATGAGGTTGATTGTAATTTTTATTTTATTTATTTTATTTAAACATATAAATATTGGTACAAAAAGCACCAGATAAATATGCGCATCACAAATCTCATTCGATTTGTGTGAGGGCTGTGATACTGACCAGGTGCCCAAACCAAAGCAGGTGGTTTTCTTCGGGGGGGGCCACACCCGGAGCCTTTGACCTGAAGGTCTAATCCACAAGGCAGTGGAGCATCATGAGGAGATGCAGTCTCATGGTAGCCGGTGATCAACGGTTGATTCGTACGCCATTTGTTCCCTCAGGATACTGGAGCCCATGTGCACCGTTGGTTTGGAATCAGGGTTTTCCAACTCCCCTAGGTGGACCCTCCATGTCCACCAACCCAGTTAAAGCGCCGGATATTCGCTCTTCGTCCTCTCACTTTCGTAAACAACACCCCCGTCACGAGAAGGCTGTGAGTAGGACTTCCCTGGCAGAGGCTATATATTCGCTGGTCATATGAGAGTATTTCGATAGGGAAAGGTGACTCTCCCCACTCTGGGCCGTACCAGGGCATTTGTAATAAGAATTGATATAAGGTCAAAGAAAAAACCACATGAATCCATACCTCAACTTT